TCCATCCTCCCTCATCTTCCCTCCTTCTCCCTCCCCCTTCTCCTCCTCCTCCTCCTCCTCATCCTCATCCTCCTCATCCTCCTCCTCCTCCGCCTCTTCTTCCTCCTCCTCCTCATCCTCCTCCTCCTCCTCGCTCGCTCGCAGACCAAAGGCCCTTGCAGTTCGCAGCCTCGTCTGGGATTAAAATGGGGGAAGGAGACAAAACGAGCACGACGCAGGCAGCAGCTGTTGTGACATCAGGGGTCCCTTACCAACACTTGCCAGCATCGAGAGCCTCTGGGCCACAGGTTACAACAGATACGGATCGAGAGGACCAAGAGCCTCCGCACCCACAGGAAGTTCAAAGTCCCCCATCACACAACTGCCGTAACAAACAACTGTCTCATACATCGCAAAAGGAGAGAGCCAACAAGGACGACACAGGAGCGGGCAACGTAACACAAATACGCCCACAGTTGCCCTGAGACATGCAATGCACATGATCGCCCATGCACCTCCATCCTCCCTCACTCTCAACCCTCGGGTGGAGACTCGGCATCCACGATGCCACAATGCCGATCGGGTCCCACTCCGCGCCACCTGAGACAGCGCACCTCTCGAACCTGATAGCACTGGCGGCGGGGCTGGCAGCGACGGCATCAAGTAAGGGGAAGCTGTCAAACTCGAGCCGATGTCCAACTTTCTGTTCAGACAGGGTGGCCCATGGAACTCCGTGGGCCTGCGCACACACCGCCAGCCCCAAGGCCCCTCAACACCACGTTTTCATGCATGAGGCGATCACGCTGTTTAAAATTGGCAAAGGGTCTCCCCCAGGGAAACTCGGAATCTCTAAGAGCCCGTTCCGCTCTCACCCCGAACCTCGGGAAGAAAAAAACAGCCCCCCGCAACGCGGCCCTGGGAAACTTTTTCAGTCCAATGGGCGGCCAGCCCCTCAGTCCACTGCGAGTGCGAGAAATGCTGAATAGCTATCTGCACTCCTCTCCGTGACAGAATCGTGGTGAGCATTTGGTGGAAATCGCCACTCAGCCTCCCCTCACCAACGATCCAAAAAACCGAAGAAAAGCTCTCAGCTCGGGTCGGAGCAGCTGGCGCAACACAAACGGGGGCCTCGACAGCCACAGTAGGAGCATCAAGAGCAACTCCTCTCCCAAGATCGAGCTTAGGCGCTAAGGGTGAGCGTGTCGTGGGTACTGGTTCGTATGGTGAACGTGTAAAAGTACATTTTCACAGCTCAGACCAGATGTGGGTCTGTCTCAAGAAGATGAAAGGCAGAAAGTTCAGTGGTGGCTCCCTTCGCCAGGCAGGTCGCACGGCACTGTGGCACAACATCGACAAAGTTGGCTGGGAGATCGGCGTGAGCAAGCAGCAGGTGAAGGCCGTGGCGGAGCTCAAACCAGTCCTGGCAGCCCTCTTCCCGAACAGCCCGCAGCACAACTGGGACGCAGCCTTCGATATCAAGAACGACAGGGGGGAGGTCATCATCCTGCCGATGTCGTTGCCAGGCAACGCCCACCAGGGTGGCCCCATCAAAGTCTACGACTGCGACAGGACCACCCACAAGATGAAGATCCCGCCCACCGCGAACGCGTTGCTGCAGGACCTGAGCATCGACCTCAAGCTCCAGACACACCTCAGTGAGATCCACGCTGTGGCGGATCCCTGAGGCGGCACTTCTCTTGCTATGCGTAGATGGCGACAGCGACGATTGGTCGACCATTCCTGTATCCTTTCTTGGAATGTCAGAATGATCTCGCTGAAGGGGTTGCCAATTTTTCTACGCGATCTTGAGAAAGAGTTCCCATGGTGCATGTTGCTTTTACAGGAATGCCTCGCCCTTCGCCGAGCAGAACCTCCAGAGCAGATCGACGGACATCGCCTTATTGTGGTCCCCCCAAGTGGCAAGGACAGGCAGAATGCGATCGTTGTCCATCGAAACTGTGGCTGGAAGATCTTAAGCGCGGTCCAGGGCACCCGCTACGTCGGCGCGTTGTGCGAGCATCCAGAATTCAATCGTGTCTTGGTGGGCTCTGCCCATCTGCACCCGTCAAAGGATAGGGCTCTTTTGATGGAGAGCCTGCGCGAGATTCGTCAGCACGTCCTCTCAGTCCCGAATGAGACTAAGGTTATTATCGGCGTTGATGCTAACGCCCACCTCGGTTCGGTCGCTGACTCCGATCTCTTTGCTGAGCATATAGGTCCCTACACTCGTTCTCCTGGCGAACCCCATGTTCTGGATAGGCTAGCTTGGAAGGCCAAGGAGTTATTCATTACCATGTGCGATCTAGATCTTCGGGCGGAAATACATACCATTGGTGTAAGTACGGTGTTCACACACATACCTGATCCTGGACAGCGTAGAGACCCCAAGCAGATAGACTACGTTCTCACACGGCACTTCCCTACGGGCACGGTCAGTTGTACGGTCGATTTCTCTACTGCTACCACTTCTGATCATCTCCCCCTACACCTACGTCTGCGGGTACGCGATCCTAGCAGCAACTGGACTCTGACAGCGGCTTCCCATCCTCCGCCTCCCAAACCAATAAATTGGACTTGTTCGGATATCACGGCTTATCGAAACGCTCTCGACGACGCCCTCGAGGTCGATCGTACTGTGCACTGTTTCTTTCGGGACGACGAGGCTTCCGGACTCTTCCTGGATATGGCTCTTTCTACGACACACTACCTAGGTATCGTAAGCGTGCGCGTGATCACCTTCGAGGATGTGCTGGCCGGGGCTTTGCGCTATTTCCCTCGGCGTCTCCGACGGCAGGCTCCTCTCCCTTAGCTTCAGCATGTGGCCCAGTATGCACTGGCCCTGAGGACCCACTCTTTGTGGGAGCGTGTAGAGAGTCGAACAACACGGCAGAGTTGACGGCACCCATTGAGGCCTTTCTGTGGTTGATTTTCCAGGACCCCCTTCCCGACAACATCAGGACGATCCCCCCCCAGGCCAAAATCAAGATGATCTTCGACTCTCGATATTGCCAACAGATGATCTGGGGACGATGGCGGCCTCGATCAAATTTGAATCTGGTGTCCGTCATGCTGGCGCTGTGGCAGGACGTTTGCAGGCGCTACCAGGTGTGCTTGCCAGAGTGGCGCAAAGGTCACTCTCAAGATATGGGAAACACGGCGGTCGACCTACTGGCCAAGGAAGGAGCGGACCCTCGGTCCAAGCACCCCGCCCGAATCACTGTGCGACATTACACGCCTTCCTACTGGCCGCGAGAACCCTGGAGCAAGCCGACGGATTCCTGGACGCCGCCTCCTGGGGAAGAATCGACCTGGAAGATTCCACCGTGTTTCGCTCGTCGGCTGGAAGCCGACCCTATCCCGACCCCCGCCTGCCTCCCCCTCCGCAAGAGACCCCGTCACCGTCGGTCCGACCATGCCCCCTCTCCGCTCCCTGCCCCCGCCCCCGCGACGCCCCCTCTGGAGCCCGATGGGGAACCTTTTAGACCCTGTACGGATGCCCATGGACGCCCTCTTCCCTCTTTACGCTTTCTGGCTGACGCCGTTTCGACCGCCGCCGCCGATCACGGACGTCGACGCAACCGGAGACCCCCCCCCCCAAGCCAGAGAAAGAAGAAGACGAAATCACCCGTACCCACCTCGAGGCTGTCAGATCTCTCCGACGAGCTGCCACGACGCAGCAGATTCGACACTTTTACTGCGCGGCCGAGTCTCTGATCCGCCGCCAGCTGCAGCAGACTAAGTTCGCGTACGAGTGCGACTGGCTTCTCTCCAAAGGTCGCACAGACCGAAGCGCCCCGCCGCCGACCTGGCAGGGGGCCATGTTTAACGAGCAAGGCGTCCTGACGACGGACCCCCAGGAGATCTTAGACCTTGCCGAGTCCTTCTTCGGAGATTTGCATCGGTCCAAAAACGTCATGCAGCTCCCCGCTTGGATCCAGAAACGCTGGGACCGTTCGGCCCTCGAGGGCCTCGTCCAACTTTCTGGCGCTCGAGTTCGGCAAGTTTTCCTTCGTATGAAACGTGGTAAGTCATGCCCCCGAAGCGAGTTACTCGTCGTCGAAATGTTCCTGGATGCCTCGGATGATTTCTTCGAGATCCTCGCCTCCCTCTCCGAACTTAGACTCCTGAATGACCCATCGATGGACGAGCCCTGTGGCTGGGACGAGCACGATGTTCATCTTATCGAGAAAATGACAATCCCATTGCACATTAAGAAATGGCGCCCCATTGCTGTCCTCTCGGCGCTATGGAAAGCTTATATGCAGATACTGTCCGAGCTAGGCCGCATTGCAGATCGACCACTGTCGCCGAATCAGTTTGCCTTTCGCCCTGCGCACCAGACGGCTGAGGTCATCTTTATTATTCGTCTCCTGGTTGAGAAAGCTATCGAATTTCGGATACCATTGCATATTGTTTCTGGGGGTATATATAAATGTTATGACTGTGTTGACCATGGTGTCTGGTGCCACGCTTTCAAGCTCGCCTCGGTGCCCGATGTCATTACCGCCGCCATGATCCGCGAAGTTAGACGCGGACGAGGCCGTCTCTTGCTTCCTCGCCTGCCTCCGTCGCAGCCGATATCTCGGACTCGATCGATATATCAGGGCGATCCAGATGGCCCTCGCAAGTGTAACCTCATTATGGAACATACTCTCATTCGTCCCTTCCTCTCCATATGCAAGTCCAAGGGCTGGGGCTACCCTCTGGATTTTGAAGACGCACGCCCGTTGGGCTTCGAGTACTATGCGTACACCAGGAGGGGCGAGGATTCGCAGCAGATTCGAAGAGTCCCGTTACTCATCTTCGCCGACAATTTTTGGCTGCTAGGTCTCACGCCGTCGATGGTGACCCTCATGACAGATGCTTGGAATAATCTAATACGGCTAGCAGGCTGGTGGGTGGACTTGAACGATATGCAGTGGACAGCGTCTGAGGATCACCAATCCCGACTGGCCGTGCATGATGTCTGGGCCCAGCCCTTCCCCCAGAGGTCCGCCGTGGCCCCATCGGCCCACCAAGCGCCAGAAGAAAACCGAAGATATCGCCCTCCCCGTCTTTCACATCCCTTTCACTCCGCGAGAGCAAGGGATAAAGGTCCTGGGCCATCAGATCACCTTCGATAACAATGCGTCGGTCGAAGTGGACAGGCGCATACGTGCCGCCTGGAGTGCATTTGCGCGCCATAAGAAGCTGCTGGCCACGAAGTGTGGCACCATCTCCAATAGGTTGAGATTGCTGCGCGAAGTTGTCCTCCCCGCCCTGACCTACAACATCGGGACCCTGCATCTCGCCCAGGATCACCTTCGGAAAATTCGGGCCGTCCAGATTGCTATGGAAAGACGTGTTATTAAACGCAAGTTGCCCCCACCCCCCCACCCCCGAAAACGACCCGCCCGCCCCTGACTACGACGACGACGACGACGACGACGAACAATGACCAGATGAAGGCCCCCGAGGTTCCAGAGACAGGCCACGTGGACCCAGATAAGTTGGACGAGTTTGGGGATTTCGAGGAGGACTTCTTGGGGGACCATCTGGCGCACGTCAACCGTCTGAGGGCCCACTATCTAGATAAGTTAGGTATCCAGAGATGGGATATAGCCTGTTTGTGCCGTGTTTTCGACTGGTGTGGCCACGTGTGTAGGTTCCAGAAGTACGCCCCAGACAGGCTTGCACTCCTGGCCCTGCTGTGGAGGGGCCAACGCTTCCTGGCGGACGTTAAAACACGTTTTGGCTCCCAGTGCCACGGCCACATTTTCAAACCTAGGAGATTCGAGGACCAATTTAAGTTTCTGATCAGTCACGACTATCAGGAATTAGCCTCCGACCCAGAGATGCGGCAGGACAGCCGCACAGCCTGGTTGAAGAGGAGGCTCGGACGGTCGTCACGACGATGATCGCGCTCGGGCGCGCCCACGCCCGCCTCTCTTCCATCGCTGCTGTCTCTCTCACTTGCCCAGGTAGATCTGTCATCCAGCGGGAGTTACACCTCCATTCAGGCTGAGTCGTATCGTATCGTATTCCTCCTCCTCCTCCTTTTCCTCCTCCTCCTCCTCCTCCTCCTTCTCCTCCCTCCGCCTCCTCCTCCTCCTCATCCTCCTCCCCCTCCCCCTCCTCCGCGCTCCTCCTCCTCCTTCTCCTCCTCCTCCTTCCTCTTCCTCCTCTTCGTCCTCCTCGTCCTTCTCCTGTTCCTCCTCCTTCTCCTCCTCATCCTCCGCCTCCTCCTCCTCCTCCCCCACCACTCCCTCCATCCCTGCCTCCCTCCCTCCCTTCCTCCCTCCTTCGCCTCCTCCTCCTCCCTCCTCCTCACTCCTGATCCCTCCTGCTCCCTCCTGCTCCGTCCTCCTCCTTCTGCTCCTTCTCCTCCTCATCCCTCACTACCTCCCTCACTACCTCCCTATCCCTCCCTCTCCCTCCCTCCTCCTCTCCCTCCCTCCCTCCATCCCTCCCCCTCCTCCTGTCCTCCTCCTCCTCCCTCCTCCCTCCTCCCTCCTCCTGCTCCTCCCTCCTCCTCTCCTCCCGCCTCCCTCCTCCCTCCTTCTCCTCCCCTTCTCCTCCTCCTCCTCTCCTCCTCCTCCTCCTCCTCCTCCTCCTCATCCTCCTCATCCTCCTCCTCCTCCTCCTCCGCCTTTTCTTCCTCCTCCCCCTCCTCCTCCTCCTCCTCCTCCTCCTCTTTCCCCCTCACCCTCCTCCCCTCCTCCTCCCTCCCCGCATCCCTCCCTCCCTCCCGTTCTCCTCCTCCTCCTCCTCCTCCTCCTCCTCCTCCTCCTCCTGTTCTTTCGTCCCGACAGGGCCTCTTAGAGGCCCTGAAGACGGAGTGCTTTTCGCCGCTGGTCGCCCCTCCTGGTTTCCCTCGGGACGTGGTGGTCGCGGCTCGTTGTGGCGTCGCTGTTGGAGGGCTGGAGCTCGACCCCTCCCACCGTCTGGGATTCTGGGACTTGCATTCCTTGCTTTTTTGTTTCAGATGTGGTCGGACCGCGACCGTTGACGGTCGCCAGTTGGCCGAAGGTTGCGGGCCCCCCACTCGCAAAGGCCGAGAGAATCTCGGCCGAATTAAACGCGGGCTGTTTCCGAGCTATGCGGGGCCTTCTAAGGCCTCGCAAGCGATTTCGCATGCGAGGTTAGTGGACGCGTGCGTCGCTGGGGAGACAGCACAGCGTGCCAGGAGGGCAAGCCCTGTACCCTCCCACGCGCCCTCCTCCCCTTGCGGGGAGGAGGAGGCGCTGGGGGTGGCTGCTACGGAGTAGCCACCTTGGGTGCAGGTGCTTGGCCTCCTCCCTCTGTTTTCCCCTCCCCCTTTTTTTTTAGCACGCTGTGCTGTGCAAAAGGTCCAAAAAGGTCCTCCTCCTCCTCCTCCTCCTCCCCCTCCTCCTCCTCCTCCTCCTCTCCTCCTCATCCTCCTCCTCCGCCTCATTCCTCCTCCTCCTCCTGCTCCTCCTCCTCCTCCTCATCCTCCTCCCCCCCCTCCTCCTCCTCCTTCCTCCTCCTCCTCCTCCGCGCAGCCATTTTGGCTCAAGCCATTTTGGCTCAAGACTGCTTTCCTGGGAGGCTGACTGCCCCCAGGCTGACTGGATACCGCTAGTCCGCGGCTTGCTTCCAACCTCTTGCAACCACGGCTAGGCTGTCCGCTGGCCCGTGGCCCAGAGTTGATTTTTTGCGCTCCTGCCGGAGCGGTGTCTTGAGTCAACCATGGCTCGGGAGTACAACCCGTGGGTCAAGCAGGCCAACGGGTGGCGTCGCAATGGGAAGAAAGGCGGCGGCAATGGCGGCGGTGGCGATGGCGGTGGCGGTCGTCGCCGCGCTCGTGATGCCGCGCGCCTCGCCTGCAGTGTCTGCGGGGCCTGTGGCCATTGGGACTTCGACTACCACAAGAACTGGTGCTGCAGTCGCTGCGGTGGCTGCTACGTCGGCGACGGTGGCGGTGGCGAGGCAGCGATGGGCGTCGGCGACCAGGGGAACACTGCCCCTGCCGACCCTGCCGACCTTGCCGCGCACCTCGCGATGTTGGCGACGAAGTTCCCCACGATGGCCCAGGAGCTCGAGGCGGCCAAGCGCAAGGCTGAAGAGGGTGGCCCCCAGCCTGTTGCGCCTCCAGAGCCGCCCGAGCCCGCTTCTCAGTCGGAGCTTGACAAGCGTGCCTCGGCGAAGCCCACGGAGCTTTCCAAGGCCGTGGAGGCGGCGGCTCGCGCTGAGCGGATCGCACAGGTGTCCGTCGAACAGCGCTTGTCCACCGTGGTCAAGCACAAGGATAACCTTGCCAAGGCGGAGTTGGATCACGCCGAGGCCAAGCAGTACTGGGAGGAGATGGCGGCCGAGCTGCGCGAGGCCATCGCCCAGAAGAACTTGTTCAACGCTGAGCAGCACATGCAGGGGATCCGCACCGCGGAGGAGCGCCTGGCCCGAGAGGCTGCGGCGGCCCAGGCCGAGGCTGCCCGCCTGGCGGCTCTTGCTCGTGCTGCTCCTCCTGGGCCTGGGGCCCCGCCTGGAGGTGGCCCGCCGCCTCAGGGTCCTGGCGGCCCGCCTGGGGGCGGCGGCGTGGCGCCTGGCGGGCCCATCCTCCCGGGCATCACGCTGGCTGGCTTCGTGGACTTCGCCTGGGTCGAGCAGAACTTGCACACCCTGGAGGAGGCGGACCTCGTCCGCTTCGAGGGCAGGTCGGCCATCGGAGCCGTACAGTGGAGGGCCATGTGGAACATGGCTAAGCAGCAGCACTCCCCCGACCTCCCCATGGACGATGCGGCGTCGGAAGCGGCGTCTAACGCGGGCGACGATCCTGATCTCGCTGAGCTTCGTGATCTTCGCAAGCGTGCTGCTGACCTGCTGACCGTGGTCTTAACCCCGAGGAGTCGGAGAAGTACGGCGTGCTGGTCCAGCGCGCCGCTGATGCCCGCGCCGCCAAGCGCGCCCGCCGCGCGGCGGCTCATCTTACCAACAACTACTTTACATATTTCTGTCAGGCAGCGGCCGCCCAGCTTAATGCAGTTCCCGCGGCTGCCGAGGCTGGAGGCCCGCAGCGTTTTTAACCCTGGCGTGGCAGCAGTTACGGACTGTGCCAGAATGCCCCGCCAGATTTTGCTTCCCGCGGTGCCCGCCAAGCGCGCTCTCGCGGGCAAGAGCTGTCTCTTCTCTTTTGCAACGTCACCTCCTGGTCTGCGTTAACTAAGGGCTTCGCGGCAGCTCAGGTCTCTAAGGTTGATGCTTTCCCCATGGCTGAACACCGCGTCCGGCGGGGCAACGTTCAGCAAGCTAAGAAAGAAACCCGTGCTATGGGATGGTCCCCCTACTTCCAGCATGCGATTGATTCCCCTGGAGGTGGTACGCACGGAGGTGTTGCAGTGTTGACCCAGAAGGGCCTGGCGTTCCAGAGGTTCCTCACCCAGGTTCCTGTGGTGGTCCAAGTGGGCTCTGGCGCCTGTTGGCTTTTCTTGGAGGTGAAGCTCAATGGGTTCTCCTTGGGAGCTGGAGTTTGTTACCTGGTTGCTTCTATCGGGATGGTTGGCGAAAACCTCGATAGGATGAAGGAGATTTGCCAGTTCACCAGGTCGTTGTCTGTTCCCTGGCTGCTCTTGGGCGATTTCAACAATTCCCCTGACCAGGTTGCTAGTTCTGGATGGTTTCAGCTTACCCGTTCTGTTCCCGTGGTCCCTGATAACGTAGAGTTCACATGTAACACGGGCGAGACTATGATTGATTACCTCGTCTGCTCCCAGGATCTGGCCCAGGCGGTTCGGGCTCAGGCTCTCTTGGACGTCCCCTTCAAGACGCATGCGTGTATATCTGCCACTGTTGATGCTGATGTCCTCCGTCTCGTGGTTGAGCGTCGTCTGAAGTGCGCTGCTTTCCCACCCGCTTTTGGGCCTGATCACGTTTGGTCGCATTATGTCAACGTGGCTTTGCAGGATGATTTGGACCCGTCCGTTCCCGAGGATGTTGCTGATGCCTTCTTGGAGCATACGCGTGAACACATATCTAGTGATATGTCTGGGGCGTGCGCTCTCTGGTGCAGGTCTGCCGAGCATGCGTGCATTTCTCGGGCGTGCGCGGCTGCCGAACCCGATCGCGTTCTGGGACAGGGGCTGGGGCTGCAGAGGTTTTCTGGATCGCTTCGCCGGCATGGGCGTTACAAGCAGAGTTTCTCTTGCCCTGACCTGTGCTTCTGGTCCCTGGTCCACGCCCGTCTCTACGATTATTGGAAATGTCTTTGCAAAGCTGGTTCGAGATGTCGCCACGCCGCTCAGCTTTGGTCTCTTCTCGCCGGCCTTGCCGACCAACCGCTGCAGCATCTGCAGCCGCTGCGCGGGGTTCAGCAGGCGCATTGGTGGGCTAAAGTGTTGTCTTTTCCGCCCACGACGCCTGACGAGGTCAAGGCCCTCATCGATCAGGCTACCGACGTTTGCAGATCTGCTTGGACCAAAGTTCGTTCCGCCGACGATTCTGGGATTCGTGAATGGTTGAAAGCCTGTCTTCCCGGTGGGGCCCCTAGGTTACACAGATGGCTTAAGGCGGATGATCGGGTGGCGGTTGATTCAAGGGCTTCGATGGGATTTCACAGACGCACGACGACATGATGAAGCATCGCGAGAGGTTTTGGGGAGGTTGGTGGGCCCCCAGTGAACAACATCGTGGCCTCCTCAATGCGTCCCTTGGGGAGCTTCGTGCATCCGCTCAGCTCGCTGCCATGGAGTCGTCTGAGTTTCAGATGCGTGACCTGGTCCAGGTTTGCCATTGTTGTTCGAGTTCCACGGCGCTCGGCGTGGATCAATGGTCCCCTCGTGAGTGGTTAACTTTGCCTGGCCATTCGCTCGACGGGGTCGTGCAGATCTTTGATCGTGTGGAACACGAGCTCATGTTCCCCACCCAATGCCTCCTCAATATCATGGCGATGCTTCCCAAGAGCGCGAATGATGAACGCGCTGTATCTAAATGCGCTACTATGTACCGTGTGTATTGTCGCATGCGGGGGTCGATGATTGACGAGTGGACTCAGCAGCATACGGACTTCTGGGACTCTGCTCTTAGAGGTTCCTCAGCCCTCCAGAGTGCCCTCTTGCGTGCGTTGTCGTATGAGGTGGCAGGATCCGTAGGCTTCGAGTCCCTGGCCGCGCACTGGGACATGGAGAAGTTCTTTGATCGTGTCGTCGTGGCATTGCTCATCCAGCTTGCGCTGAAGGTTGAGTACCCACCCTGTTTGTTGTACCTTGGCCTCCTCGTTCACACGAGCCCGCGCGTGCTCGAGGTCGAGGGTACCCTCTCGCAGATCTTGCCCACGGGCAATTCTATCTCGGCTGGTTGCACACAGTCGATGCCCTGGGTCAAGGCGTTGTTGCACGATGTCTTGGAGCGCGCACACACTCGTATACCGCATGTCCCTGTGCAGTCGTATGTAGACGACATAACGCGATATGCGCACGGCACGAGTAAGTACATCCTGAAGGTGGCCCCGCAGGCCGCGCTCTCCTTCTTCCAGGACGTCACGTCCATAGGTTGCAAGGTCTCCCCTAAGAGCTCAGCGGTGGCCTCCTCTACGTCCTTGGCGAAAGCTGCTCTGTCTGATTTCCAGAAGCTGGGGATCCCCTTGAAGGTTTTGGAGGCCGTCAAGGATCTTGGGGCGATGACCACGACGGGGAGGAGGAGGTGCAGTGCCAAGGCGAGGTTGAGGCGGAGGATTGCTTTCAGGCGGGGTCGTAAACTGCAATTCCTGGCCCGCTTGCGTGGCCGATCTCGGAAGCTGTTCAAACCTGGGTTCCTCAGCCTGGGCACGTGGAGCCACAGCGTCATAGGTTTACCACCGTCTGAGGTCCAGGCCTTCCGGGCGTCCGCTGCAACATGTTCAGGCTACTGGCCCCCGGGAGCTTGCACTACTACTGCGTTGGCTGTCCGACATCAGTATCGAGATGACCCGGCATACAGGCTTAGGCGAGAGCAACTGCAGGCGCTGGTTATTGTTTGGCATGGCCTCTCCCCCAGTATGCGTAAAGGAGTTGACCGTACTTGGGATATGTTGAAGGGCAAGCTGCTCGCCCTCCCTGCAAACCGGCGCTGGCGGACTGTCAAGGGCCCAATTGGCGCTGTGATTTGTACTTTGCTCGACCTTGGTTGGGCCCCTGACTCGCCCACCCGATGGGCTACGCACGCTATGGTGCTTGATGCGACATCCCCCGATTTCCTTTTCTACCTCGACGCGTGTGTGAAGGAGACCGTGTCTCAGGGGGTCTGGGGAGCTGCCGCAAATCATTATTGTGGTGCCGGTTTGGAAGCAGGGGTTGATTTCACAGTCTTCCGTCGCATGCATGCCCAGCTGGTCCAGGATGGGGCCCACCAGGATGCCGCCCTGTTGTGCTGCATCGTCATAGGTGGTTGCTGGCCCGAGGCACGGCTTCGACAGGCAGGCTATCTGTCCAATGGCGTTTGCCAGCGCTGTGGAGTGGCGCAGGAGACGATGATGCATCGAGTATGGCAGTGTACGTGTAACTCCTCCATCGACTCGAATGCCCTCCACCAGTCCGAGCACCTCTGCCCCGAGGCCCTCAATGCTGCCAGTCATGATCGTGTTTTCTGGACGAGGGGTTTACCTACGTTGGCTGCCGCCGTGCATCAGATTCCTCCGCCGACCTCCCAGAGCTTCGGGCGGGGCGTTCTGGAGCAAGGCGTCGTCGTCTCTGGAGGTACCTGGGGCTTGGATGGCTCTGGAGGCAAGTGGGCTAAGGATTGGAGGTTTCGTCGATGTGGGTGGGCGATGGTTCGTTTAGATTTTTAGAGCGTTGCTGGCAACTTCCAGTTCGACGGGGTGTTGTGCGGGACCCTCCCCACCCTCGAGCAGAGCAGTCCTCGATCGGAGCTGTACGCCTTCTATATGTTGCTCGCGCACTCCACGGGCGACATATTGGTGTATTCGGATTACCTCCCACTGGTGCGGGCGATGAGGCGCCCGAGGTCGTCCATAGCTAAGTCGTCGCCGATGCTCGATCTGTGGTGCCTCATCTGGGATCGTCTTGATCGTCGATCAGGCCATGTCGAGATTCTCTGGACTAAATCCCATGTGACCGCCTCGCTGAGCGAGGCATGGGGCCTCTCCGAGGCCGAGCTTTTTCTGAATTCGTGTGCAGACTATTTCGCTGGTGTGGCCGCTGCCAAAGGGGAGGTTCACCCCGACTATGTCAAGCTGGTTTCTGATATTGATTTGCTGACCTCCTAGTCTTGCATAGACTGCTCGATGTCAGTCGGGAGGTCAGCATCACCTGCCCCCGGAATAAGGCCGATCGCGTCGGTAGGCAGCCTCCCCGCCCTCGGGTACTGCCCACTGACGTGACTCGTCGGCAGCGGCTCCTCGCCGCTGGCCACGCGCCCGTGAAGGCTAAAGGTCTGTTTCGGTGTCAGGTTTGCCATCGTAAATTTGCCGCCTTCCGCGGCAGGCTTTGTGATTTTCGCCCTGGCCGGTGTGTTGGTCCACCCCCAATGCGAGATGGCCCAGCCGCTGCGCCTCGCCATCCAGCTTTCCCCAAGGCCCACTCTTCTCATCATCTGTGCGTTCTCAGAGGAGTGTTGTATTGCACGGTGTGCGGGAGGCATTGTGTCGACACTGCTCAGCTCCTCGCTGGGCAATGCCCCCTCACTCTCACGCCGCCTCGGCCTCCCACGAAAGCGGGGCTGAGCGTTTTGTCAAGGCTCTCCAGAGGGTTGCCGCCGAAGAGCGGGATGCAGTTCCCTGCGAGAGGGTGATGTTGACCGAGGGTCCTTGTCCATCAGGGAAGGCCCACCAGAGCAAGGTCAAAAAGGTCTCCTCCTCCTCCTCCTCCTCCTCCTCCTCCTCCTCCTCCTCCTCCCTCCTCTCTCCTCTCTCCTCTCTCCTCTCTCCTCTCTCCTCTCTCCTCCCTCCTCCCTCCTCCCTCCTCGTAGTCCTCCTCCTCCTCCTCCTCCTCCTCCTCCTCTTCCTCCTCCTCTCCTCCTCCTCCTCCCTCCTCTCTCCTCCTCCTCTCTCCTCTCTCCTCTCCTCTCTCTCTCCTCCCTCCTCCCTCCTCCCTCCTCCTCCTCCTCCTAGTCCTCCTCCTCCTCCTTCTCCTCCTCCTCCTTCTCCTCCTCCTCCTCCTCCTCCTCCTCTCCTCCTTCTCGTTCCTCTCCTCCCTCTTCCTCCTCCTCCCTCTCCACTGCCTCCCTCCCTCCCTCCGCCTCCTCCTTCGCCTCCTCCTCCGCCTCCTCCTCATCCTCCTCCCTCCTCCTCCCTCCTCCGATTGCCACCTCCCCGCTTTCCTCCGACTCGACGGACACCTCGTCAAGTGTCATCCCGCCGCCGCGCCCGGCGGGCATCGTGCGTGGAAAGTCCTTCGAGCTGGACGACTTCGACCTCGGGGCTACCGTCGGCATGGGCACCTTCGGACGCGTCCGCGTGGTGAAGATACGAGGCAGCGCCGACAGGGCTCCTTTTGCCCTCAAGATTATGAAAAAGAGCGAGGTTATACGGCGCAAGCAGGTGAAGCACGTGAAGGATGAGGCGGCGATCCTCTCGCAGATCCAGCATCCTTTCGTCGTGAACCTCTTGGCAACGTTTCAGGATGAGAAGCGGCTCTTCCTACTGCTGGAGTTCGTCAACGGGGGTGAGTTGTTCTCGCGCCTCCGGACCAAGAACAGGCTGCCCGAGCAGGAGGCGCGTTTTATTGGAAAGGTTGCGCCCTTTGCCGCCAGACCCTCAGGCAGAGCCATCGTGTAATTACGTGCGGAGGGACCACCGTGAGGTCTCGTCGAAGACGCTTACGTTTGGACGCACCCACGTGGCCAAACGTTGGGCCGAAATCTTGCCAGGCTACTGGGCCACGTGTTCCCCCAGCCGTTGTGGAACCCTTGGGGGGCACTTGCGGGAGGAAGGGGAAGGAGGAGGAGAGAGAGGAGAAGGAGGAGCAAGAGGAACCTGACGCCTCTCATGGGACCTCCTCGGTGCCTTTTGCGGGCCTCTCAGGGGGCCTCTTGAGGTGCCTCTTGGCCGTCGGAGGCCAGCCTGCGGGCACCTCCCGGCCGTCGTGGGATCATCGTTGGGCGACTTAGGGGCCGTCGTGGAGGTCTTGGGGCCCGCTTGGCCCGTCCTGGGCCCTGTTGGGGGGCTTCTGGGGCCATCTTGGGGTTAGCTTGGAGGCCTTCGGTGTTGTCTTCGGGTTCCAGAAGCCCAGAATGGCGAGAATACGAAAAGATTTAAACCTTCTTGCGCAAATCCGTGATTTTCGTATCCTGGAGGTCCTCTTGGAGCCCTCTCGGGGCCATCTTGAGGCCGTCTTTGGCGGGTAATTACGCCGTTGGGAGACTCATTGTATGGTGCCTTTCGTGCGGCTGGCGGGTCAGGCCGAAGGCCATTGGAAACCCTTACACATGCTCGAACAGTGCAACACTCAGCACTCCACGCACCTCTGTGGAAAGCCACAGGGGGCCCTCGGGTGCGCCGAGGCTCCCAGCACTCGCCGCTGCACCGATCGTTCCCACCGAGCACGACGCTGCGGCGGCACAAGCCGGCAGGTTCCGCGAAGGGGGTAGTATCGAAGAGAGCCCGGGCGTGAGCCTAGACCACCTCGTGTTATTTCCTCTCCCAGACCTCCGTGACTAAGCTGGTCAGTGTGAAAGTCCAGCAGGTGGCTCCAGCAACGAGGAGGAGGAGGAGGTGGAGGAGGAGGAGGAGGAGGAGGAGCAGAGTGACTGGTGTCCGCGGGAGCTCTCGTGCAGTGCATGTCGGGACGCATGAGGTCCCCGCTTCCCGTGATGGTGTCCGACGATGGTAACGACAACGCCTTCTTTGTCAACGTCACGGCGCAGGAGTTCCACACATTAAAGTGGGTGGCCAAACACGTGTGGCGCAGACGCGGCATCTCGGCCAAGGTGCCACAGATGCTGGGAGCGTGGATGGTGAACAAGACACCCGCAAGCGACGTCCACAGTCTTGGCGGACCAACTTGTTTCCGTCGCGGACGCTGCGAGAAACATGGACTCCAACTCATCGGTCTTCTTCGCGGTGGGACATGCGAAAGGATCACTTGGGCACACCGCCTGCGGCGCCTGCGGCGGGCTCCGCCTGCGCCTTCAGGACCGACTGTTGTTGGAGGTTGGGCGCGCGCCCGCATCTCGTCTAAGGCCAGGGGGACGTTACGACGAGCGCTGCCTTGCATTATTGCGTCGGGAGTTGCGTCGCCATGAGACGCCTTCAGATGCGCCTGCGGTTGGAGGTAGGCCATGCTGGGACGTCTTGGCCCATCCCTTCTTTGGCTTTGCACTTGAGAATCGGGCCGGGGGTGGCCATCTTCAGTGCAGCAGCGCAGCGCAAATGTGTTTCGACGCTTCATTTTTCTAGCTTCGGCAGTCTGCGAGGGCAGGGCGCACGAGGCACCGTGTCGCTCAGCCTCAGTAAGGGGGTTCGGCGACTACCTGAGCAGGCGCATGATTTCGGTGCTGCCGCCCGAGGCGCTCGACGCTGCGCGCTTGCTTTTCTTCGCTGTAGCCGCCGCTGTTCTTACCAGCCGCCGCGCGTTCTCACAGGGGGATCGTGCGTCTAGGGCAGTCTGCGAGGAGCTGGGAGCCCCCCGATCCCCGATCAACAGAACTTCGGCCCGCGCCGCCACCGCGCCTGGCGTTGAGGTCAGAGGCCCGTTGGATGCCTGGGGACATCTCCTGGGAGGGACGAGGGACGAGGCTTGGCGCAGCCGTCCGTCCGAGACGAACAGCCGGCGGGACGGCCGCGGCGGCCGCGTCCTCGGGCGAGGACGGAGAAGGCGCCCGCCACCAGCTCCAGCATGGGCCCGCCCCCGGGAGGGGCCAGACGGGCCATCAGCGAAGCAGATGGCGACGCTCCCGCTCTCCCAGACGGGGAGCCACGCGGGCAAGAAAGAAGCCGAGGCACACCTGGAGGAAATAGTGCATGGCTGACATGAAGAGGGCGTCGCCGAGCAGGAACCTGACGGCGAAGACCACCGCGCGAGCCACGCACAGGACCCGCCCCCGCGAGGGGCCAGGCGGGCCAATCTCGCAGCCGTCGGCGACGCTCCCGCACTCCCTTAGGGAGCAGCGGGCAATATGTAGCGGTTGCCGATCCTCACAAGGTTACGGAGGACCCGCAGCCAAAAGCACAACCAACGATCCAACACCGTCGGCACGCAAACGAGGATGACGTCCGTAGCAGCACGTGCCCACAGACGCCTCAGAGACCCTCCTGCGGCCCGCCCCCAAGCTGGGCCAGACGGGCCATCACGATAGCACCATCATACAGCAGGGCCTGCCCCCAGAAGGGCCAGGGAGGCCATCAGCGTGCACGTCCCCATGGTACTGACCACCATCCCGCCACACAGTGCCAGAGAGGGTAGCCACCCACACAGTCCGACCAAGGTAGTGAAAACAATCCAGCCACATTGTGCCAAATTACTGTAGCAGCCACCAACTGAAAGTACCAGGGGCAGAACGCCCTCGAACCATTGTAGAGAGTGTAACAAATGTCCGGCGCCCGTTCCCAGCAGAAGGCAAGCGCACTTGTCACCAACAGGTGGCCCGAACACCCTCACGGGTCGTTTCCGCTGCGAAAAGGAGGCATGAGAGGCAAGCGCACTTGTCACCAACAAGTGGCCAGAACACCCTCACGGGTCGCTTTCGTGCGTCCTGACCTTCGGGGAGGCAAGCGCAGCCGTCACCAACGGCTGGCCAGAACACCCTCGCGGGTCGCTCCTCGTAGGCCATTGGGCATGCATCCGGACCTTCGGAGAGGCAAGCGCAGTCGTCACCAACGACTGGCCGGAACACTCTCGCGGGTCGCTCTCATGAAGCCAGTGTGTACACACAGTAAAAGTCCATCAAGCCGCCGACGCAGACGCTTTTGCAGACCCTCATGGGGGAACAGCGGGCCAGGTGAGCTTGACGTTGTCTTTAGGATGCAGGCCTTTCAACAAACGCCGTCTTCTCGAGTCAATATTCGAAAGGCACGTCTTACCTTTTCCTTCGCCACTCAAGCTCCCGCAACACTCCGCCAACAATTGCTTGGATACACCTCCCGCCGACCACGCAGCACAGACTTCGCAGAAAACCGCAGGCCCTGCACGGCGGAGATGATGCCCATTGCATTGAATGACTTCAGCTTCAGCCCACTCAGAGACTACCTCTTCGCCGACGTCGCCAGCGTCCTCGGGAATAGCAGCCGCATCCAGCGCTTCCATCACGAACCTGCCTGCTTCTGAGATTTGAAAAGCAATGCCGCCGCCAAACTCCACCATAGCCTCAGCACGTAAAGCGTCGAGGCGTGACGGCTGACACGGCGTTCTGAGAATTGGGTTCCAGGCCGCGCCTTTGAATTGCTTGCCGTACGTCTGGCGCACTGCCTGCGCGCGAACGAGCCACCCGATAACTTCGCAACATCGTGCGAGGTCACCTGCACGGGCTTAATGCGCGCCCCCCATGGCTTGGGCATCACGAGTGGGAACTCAGGCCCCCGCTTGCCAACACGCATCTCACGCTGCATCACCCACCCAGTGTAGGCCGCAGCACGCTTGGCGAAATTCATCTCGAGCTCGCAGTATTGCTCGTAGACCTTCGGCGCCGCATGTACGTCAGCACCTCGTCGAGCAAACCAGTCAGCCCACATATTGCCCAGGTGGAGCAGCGGGCTGAGGCCTTTGTCGAGGTAATCGTCCACGTCCTTGTGCGCAGGGAACAAGTGACATTCGGTCTGACTGGCTGCGATCTGATACTGCGCCAGATCGCAGCATGGACCGCCGAAGCTGACTCCAACTCAGGGCCCCAGGAATTCGCCTCCGCCTCCAGTGCAAGCAAGCCCGTGAACACGCATTGCAGGTTGGCCCAAAGAGCTTGGTCGCCATCAACAGAGCGTACCTCTCGGATCTTCCAACCGTCTGCAGCGGCCCAGGTAACGGGCCAAAAGCTGCTCTGATCGAAATGCCCGGCCCCGCAAACTGCACCACGGCCCAGCCGCGCTTCCTGAGCCCAGGAATGGAGGGGGCTAGGCCTGACCCGTCCGCGAACACAGCATTCCCCAAGAGCTCCTTTGGCGTGGTCCAGTCGCCCCAGACATGCACTGGGAGTGCACATTCCACCTTGGGAATCGTAGGCGGCATGCAGGGCAGGCACGCCCCAGGCTGGAGCACGCCCTAACTTGGGCCATACAGCTGCTGCATACCCTCGTCCCTCACGTAAGCGTGGAAGTCGACAAACCTTTCAGAAAGAGCGTTGCCTGCCTCCTCGGCGTCGTCCTCAGGGCCCAAGACGGGCTCGCAACCAAAGAACTTGCGACCAGGAGTGTCGCCAGCATGCCGACATGCCAGATAGACAGGAGATTCGACCAACTGGAAGTCGCACTTGGCTTTCCTCGTCCACGGCACACCTGACCAGTGAGCACGTACATTTGATGCCTGCTGCCCTTCGCTGACCGCAGCGCCTCTAGCTCCAATGCGCTGCCTCATAGCACGGACCCAGAGCTGCGCATGTTCGCCGTCGGGGGTGCTCGAACCTCGATAAGATACGCTTGCCTTACCACCTCTCGATTGACTCAACCAGATGACAACGCAAATCCTTCGGACTGACAGCTAAAATGTTGACGTGCTCATTGACCAGGATCGTGGATGAGTGCATGAACCAATCAATACGCCAAAGAGAAATGATCGCAGAAGCGACGGGCCCCCTCGTTTCCCTCCAAGAAGTCTTGCCCTCGCCGACCATCTTAGTAGCGATGGCTGCCCACGCGTGATGAAGCTGACTGAGGAGGACTCGACTTCCCCACACTGTCGCCGCGCACCGACAAACCAGGTCGCAGGTGGCCATGTAGATGGTCGAACTCTTTGGAGCGCTGCGTGGCCAGGTAGAGCGTGAGACTCGAAGAGCCTGGCCTCGATCCAACCAGACGTCCTGCTTCTGTTCGTACCTGATTCAGATGATGCTGACTGAGGCCTGCAACGCCAGCCCCATGCCCAGCACTTGGAAGTAGCCCCGTCTTCCATAAGCAGATGACCTTCATGCCCGCTGCCTTCTGGAGCATGCTGGGCCGTCGCCGACGAGCGATAATGCCAGCGATGCGTTGGCTCGTGAGCTTTCTGGATTTCTTTTTGCCGCACATGTCATGCCCGAGGCTACGAGTCCACATCTCTTGGGAGGCCTCTCGGAAGCCGTTGGGAGGCGGTTGGGATGGTCCTGGGGCCTCTCGGGGACCTCTCGGCGGTTTGAGAGCCATTTTGGGCCCTCTTCGGGGCGGTTTTCTTTTGGGGGGGTGGGAGCTTGCTGTGGCCATCGGCTCAGTGGCGCCGCCCGCGGGTTTCTGCCTCTCGGGCGCGCAGCGGGGCGGGGCGCGGCGCGGGGCCCTTTCCCCCCCTCGCCTCCATGGCCCTTCCTGGCGGCGGCTGTTGGCGCAGCTGCTGCGGCGCCGCCGCGCGGGCGATGCCCGCTGCAGCGGGGCGCGGCGGCGTGCGCTGCGCGGCAGGGCGCGAGCTCCTCGCCCTCCTTCGGGGCGGGCAGCGGCCCCGCGCGAGGGCGCGCCCGCGGCCGGGGGGCAGAGGGCAGCGAAGCAGGGCGAGCGGCCGCTGAGGCGGTCGGCGGGGCGGCGGCCCGACGCGCCCCCCCGACGGCCTGCGCAGGCGCGGGGCGACTGGCAGGCGCAGCGGCGCGGGGCCCGGGCGTCGCCAGAGCGGCCCTGCGAGGGGCGGGGCAGGCGCATCGGCCCTTTCGACGCCTTGCGAGGCGGAGGCAACGATGACGAGGGCGAGCCCGAGGTTGTCGTCGATGAGGGAGGTATCTGGTCGCAGTCTGTGACGGCGAGCGCGGTGGTGGCATCGCCGCGAGGCGTCGGCTCTGAGGAGCACGACGAGGACGCACTGCCGGCCGCGGCCCTGGCGCAGGCCAGGGAGGAGCAGCGGCTGATAGGCTTAGAGAAGTCCGTGGAGCAGCACGAAGAGGCGAGGAGCATCGACGAGGACATCGGGCCCGAGGGCGCCGAGGGTGGGAAGCTGAAGGAGGAGCTCAGCGAGCCTAGCGTCGATGAGGTCGCGACGGAGCGCGCGGCCGCGGATGTGGCCGAAAGGGAGGTGGTCTCCGTCGACCAGCACGGCGAGTCCGAGGCTGAGGCTGCGAGACCGGGCGGGCCTTGCGACGAGGCAGTCGACGTGATCGGCGTCGGCTTGGAGTGCGCGGAGGTGGTCGAGGAGTTCCTTTTGGCGGAAGGGGGGCTCTGCAGGGCCGCCTCCACTCGAGACGCCGCCCGGCGGGCGCCCCCAGTCGCAGCAGGCGGCCAGCGCGGGCAGGCGGAGGCGCAAGAGGGCCGAGAAGGCCGAGGCGAAGGAGCAGCAGCGCCTCGAGCAGCAAGAACTGCAGCGGACGCTGGCGGACGCGACCGACGCGCGGCGGCGCGGGGGAGGCAGAGTTCGCGCGGCGGCGCGCGGCGGTGGAGGCCTTCGAGGCCGAGCGCCTGGCTCGCCGCGAGGCCGAGCGCCTGGCGGAGCTCCCGCTCTTGGGCGCGTGAGCTGCGGCGCGGGGGGCTCCTGGTGCATCCCATCGGGGCCTTTGAGGGGGAGGTTTTCTTGGGGGCCTCTCGGGGGTTGCTGGCGGTCCCGGGGATCATCTTGGCGCGTGGGAATCGAAATGTCAGCTCGCATTCCCCCTCTTAGGGCCGTCCTGGCGGTCTCTTGGGCCGTCTTGGGGCCCTCTCGGGGGTGCTTTCTCGGGGGGGCCTTTTGCCTTTGGATAAGTCGCGCGGGGACACGCGAAGCCCCTGGAGCGGCCGATGGTTCCCGAGAGTGCCAGCGCTATGCCATAACCAGCCAAGGTACAAATACATTCCCACAGTGATTCTATCACTATCCAAAACAAGCGGTTCCATTTGTCAAATATGGCGCCGGTTCCCCCGAAAAGCGCCAATTTCGCAGTCGCGCCAAGTTACTACAGTGACGGACGGATCAATACGATGTGGCGTGCAAGAGCAGTTGCGAGTGAGAGAGCGGAAGGAGGAAGGGGAAACAAACACGATACGTCAATTGGTGGCGTTCGTGTTCATTTCGGAGCCTTCAAGGGGCATCTTAGAGCCGCTGGGGGGCACAGGGTTATATTCAGAAATGTTGGAGTTACTTTGGGGCCTCCGGAATGCATCTTTGGGAATCTGAAGGTCGAGATGGGCCTTGTTAAGCAATATTGTGCGACGCTGGTGGCGCGTTATGACTTCTGGAAACCATCGTGGGCCAGGCTCGGGCCATGCTGGGGATTGCTATGTGGGGTGCGTTTTGAAGCCGCGTTGGTACATCTTGGGGGTAGGACAGGCGACCAGCAGAAAACACTGTAAACAATTAGGCGTTGCAGCGAGATCTTCCCGTCTTGGCTTGCCTTTGGGCCCTCTTGGTGCCTCTTGGACCGCCTCGGCCGTGTTGAGGCAATCTTGCGCCGTTCGGGGTCTTTTCGGGCGCTTTCGTTGGGCCCTCCTGGGGACGTTCTTGGGGACCCCGTGGGGACTCTCCTGGGGGGGCCTCATGGGACGCTCCTGGGGGTGCCTCCTGGGGACGCTCCTGGGCTTGCGCCGTTTTTGTGGCGTTCCTGGGGACCTCGTGGGCCCCTCTTCGCCGCCAGGCAGCGTCACTGCGGGAGTTTTTGTGGCAACCGGGAGCGGTTGAGCAGCTGAAGGCGACCCCCTTCCCTGGGCAATTGTTTCTTAGTCCGCGGGCTCTATTTTGCAGAGAAAGGGCATACGGGGGTATGCATCGACCCCCAATCGCCCACTGATCGCCGATAGGGGCCCGATAGCCCCAACCTACCCAGGAAGGTGCGGATTCATTAGCGTGGAGCTATCACAGATCTATCGGCGACGTATCGCCGATTCCAGGTCGATGCACCCCCCCAATGCCAGACCCCCCAAATGCCAGACCCCCTGGCCCGCCAAAAGAGGAGGGAGACAGGACTAGAGAGACGAGAGGCAAGAAACGAGAGACAGGACGAGGATGAGCAAGGCGACAATTAACACAACACCAGCAAGGCAGCAGTCCAGCAGGGAGCGTCACAGCCTGGTGGCCCCAAGGGGCCCTTTGGCGGATCTCTGCAGAGGTCTGCCTCGTCTTCGAGTACCTTCACTCCCGGAGCATAATTTACAGAGATCTGAAGCCAGAGAACGTGCTAATCGATAGCGCCGGCTTCATCAAAGTTACCGACTTCGGATTCGCAAAGGAGGTGGACGACCGAACTTGGACACTGTGTGGCACGCCAGAGTATCTGGCACCCGAGATCATTCAGTCTAAAGGCCACGGGAAGGGGGCGGACTGGTGGGCCTTGGGCATCCTCCTCTTCGAGATGCTTGCAGGCTACCCACCATTCTATGACGAGAACCCCTTCGGCATTTACCAGAAAGTGATCGGAGGCAGGGTGGACTTCCCAAGGCACTTCGAGTTGATGGCGACGGCGCTCATAAAGCGGCTCCTGACCCACGACCGCTCCAAGCGCTACGGTTGCCTGAAGGGCGGCGCGGATGACATCAAGGGGCACAGGTGGTACAGAGGTTTTGACTGGGAGTCGTTGTTATCTCGCCAGCTTCAGCCAGAGTACACCCCGTCCGCGAGAGCCGCGGACGACACGTCCACGTTCGACCGCTACCCGGAGAGCACGGAAGCATCCGCCCCTGCCATCCCCGCGATGGACCAGCAGTTGTTCGACGGGTTCGGGGTAGAGATTCGCGGCAGACCCTTTCCGCCCCTTCCTCCCCAGACCACCGACGCCGTGACTTGTTCAAGGCCTCTCAGCAGGCGCGAGGGCTTCCGACGAGCCCCGCCGATCGTCTGCGAAGGCCAACCGGATGAGGGGGGAGGGGAGGAGGGCAGGAGGGGAGGACGGAAGGAGGGAAGGACGGGAGGAGGGGAGGAGGGAAGGAGGGAAGGAGGGGAGGAGCAAAGGAGCAAAGGAGCAAAGGAGGGGAGGGGGGAGGTAAGAGGTGTGCTCCCATTGAGCTGGCATGCGGAAGCCTCGAACGCAGCTTCCTTCTTATTAGCAAGGAGCCACGATTACCAGGAGAGATCGGAAGCGACCTTAGGTTGAGAAGTCCTACAGCCAGCGCTGGTGGGGAAGGAAGGGAGGGCTTGCAGAGTTGAGCTCTTCTGGAGGACAATGCGGATTTTGTGGATCGGCGCTGGGACCCCACACCTGGCGCGCGAAAAGAGCCAGGGCGGCGCAAAGGGCTCCACCAGGGGGCCCAGTTCCAGTCCACACAAAATCCGTTCGAACCTCGGGAAAAGTCAGCTCTTCAAGAAGGCTCCTCCTCGAGACCCCAGCCAGAGCGAACCAGGAGAGGCAAATCAGAGATCCCCCGCGGTGCGGGAGGAGGGGGGGGCAAGGCAGGGAACACTTGCCTGGGGGCTTGTCCGATCCCCACTACGCTGCCTGGCCGACGTATCCCGCAGGCACGGGACGACGACACGAAGAGGGAGAGGAAGCCACCCCAGAGAGGAGGCCCAGCCCGACCCGACCCGACCACCCAGATCGCTGGGCGGATGGGGGGGGGAGGGGAGGGGAGCGGGGGATGTTTCCTGACGGCGGCCGCCCGGAAGCGATCCGTGTCCTTCTCCACGCGGAGCGCCAACATCGCCGCTTCGTTGCACCCAGAGTCCGCTGGAGCTGCCGACAACGTCGCCGAGGCCGCCGCCTCCCTGGAGGGTGGAACCGTGGTGGCGCCGCGGACCTCCCAGGAGGTGCGCCTGTGGCCCTCCGAGCGGCTGCAGCTCCCAGGAGCGCGAAACGTAGGCTTCCGCACCTGCTCTCCACAGAGAGCGCAGGCCTGCCTCCGCGCTGAGGACTGTGCGCGACCAGCCGCCCACGAAGCCTGCTCGGCGAGCGTTGGCCCCGTAGGACGTCGAAAGGGAGCCCCTGCTTGAGGGCACTGGCAAGGTCCAGCCTGGGAATTGGGCCGAGAGCGAGAACCAGCAGCGGCCTCACCAGCCCAACAGGACCGGGCCTCCAGGAGGGCCCGCACATGCACCTTGTACTGAGGCAGAAACAGCTCTTCGTAGACGGCCACTGAGGCTGGTCAATCCGGAATGGACCACACACTTAGGACGGCAAGCGAAAGTTGTGCCCAAGCGTGTACGAAAACACGCCTGTGGAGGTCCTCCTCGAGGCCGTCACAGGCCAGCGCGCGGGGAGGCAACCTCATGCACGACCCTGGCCGACTCCGAGACCGACCGGCCCAGCTCCGAGCAGGCTGCGGTCGGGGCGCCGAAGAAGGAACCCTCTTCGTTGGGGAGGGGCTCCGTGCTCCCTGATTGTTTCACCGTTTGTTTTGGGTTTTCCCTAGGTTTTCGATGGGGAATCGACGTTCTTTAACTTATGGGAAAAAGGGGGCCTCGTTCCTTATTTGGGGTTCCTGAGGTCGGCGCCCCGACTGTAGGGCCGACCCTCGGCAGGGAGGACTGCCCGGGAGGGCGCCCGCCCACGCCCTACGGCTCTGCTCCAGCCTGCCTGGCGCGCCGTGCGCTCCCACCCACCAAGCCACCCCCCAAGCCACCCCAAGCCCAGCCCGAAGCCAAACCACCCCAAGCGATCATCGGGGGCAGAAAAGAGGGGGGTGATGACTAGGGGGGGTTGGATATCATGGCAGGGGGGCCATGATATTTCCCCAGATTTCATGGCGCCTCTTCTTATTTCATTACGTCCCTGGCCCCCCCCCCTGGGCCGCGCACATGCCGCCGGTCATGATTTGCACCCCCCCTCTTGGACACCCCCCTCTTGGCCGCTCCCAACAAACCACCCCAAGCGATCAAGCAGTGGCGATGCGTCCTGGCGTGCCGATAGGCCCGGCCGAGCACTGTTCTGGGAGCCTTTTTTGTAGTTTCTACGAGAGATGTTTTTAGACCATTTCTGGCCGTGGGTGCGCGTTTTTGAACCCAAGTGGAACAGGCGGCCCCACCCAGATCGGCATGGTCGGGGGGGCGGCGGCCACGCCTGCCATCCTGCTCTCTGAAGACCCACGGGCGACGACGGCTTGCTTGAAGGGCTTAGTGAGTGTGCGTGGAGACCTTGTGCGCGAACGCCCACTCGGCAAGAATTCAGGAGGGAAAGAAACACACAGACACAATTAATCGGCGATTCCCCAGAGAATATGGGAAAATATGGGAAGTGGGGGGGGGAGACAAAAAACCCGGCAATTTAAGAAAATATGGGGAATCTTTTTATTTGTGTGTATGTATTTGTGTGTCCCAGGGCCCCTTCAAGAATGTTCTGTGCTAGTTGGGCCCCTTCCCAGGTGGAGGGAAGTGAGCCCGCTCGCGCCGGGCGTAGCGGCGCGGCAACATCAAACGCAGCCAATGCGGAGGCTTCCAGCACGAGGTCGCCTGCCAGTTCGGCGGCTGATGGGAGCGGCATTCCCTCGCGGAGTGCTCTGGTGAGCGTGGCAGTCAAGCCTGAGTCGGGGGTGCCCGTGCCTCGCCATTTCGACCTCGACAGGCCCGCGCAGTGCCTCTAACCCCAGGAAGCAAACCTTTCACGTTCGCATGGAATGCCGAATCCCACTGCCCAGGCCACTGTGACTGTTCCCGCAGCTGTTGGCACCAGGCTTCACGCGAATCCTCCACAGACAGGGTCTCGCCACGCTTCCCCCTCAGAAGGGAAGCCGGCCGGGGCTCCTTCGGGCGCAGAAGCCGCATGCGTTTCACCGCTCGCTCCCGCGCCGTGCCCGGCCCTTCGATGGCCGACCGCACCTTGCCCCGCAGCACTGGAGCACCCGCGCGCCGCGGGGTCAGGGCCTGTCCTGCGGCACTGCCCAGCCCGCCAGGACGAGACCAAGGATGAGGTGCAGCAGCCAAGCGGCTGCATCCGCCAACCACTGCGGCGGACGCACGCCCAGTCTCCTCGTGCTGGAGCTGGCCGCCTCGTCCTCGCAGCAGTGCCGCAGAATGCTTGTGCGCACGCTTGCAGAACTGGGCGGGCTACGGCCAGCCCTCGGACCCATGGAGCCGTAGAGTTCCACCACCGCGGCATGCAAATAGCCCCATGGGTCGTTGCTCGCGGAGGGGGGGAGTTGGGAACGGTGAAGTCGATCAGAAAATGGCCACTCCTCCTCCTCCTCCTCCTCCTCCTCCTCCTCCTCCTCCTCCTCCTCCTCCTGTACTGTACTGTACTGTACTGTACTGTACTGTACTGTACTGTACTGTACTGTACTGTACTGTACTGCACTCAATGGAAGCGGCCGTCGATGCCAGCCGCCCCAAACATCTACACACTCACCCAGTAACATGTGAGTGCGGAGCGGGTGACAAAAATCCAAACCTTGCAAGAAGCTGGGCAGGGCCCCAACATTCTTCCCACAAGCCTGGGAAACAAGCTGCCTGATCATTGTCTTCAGCTTGCCTGACCTCGACCCCTCTATTGGCCGACCTGATCAAGGCCAGCAAGTCAAAGGGAGACGGGGATCCATGTCCTGAAACAGTCCAACCTGCATACGGCTTCCCCCAAGACGGGAAAGCTCCTCGCAGAAATCTAGACCTCTGCTGCCTGAGGTCCTTAGTCCGAGGCGTGCCCTGACACTTGGCCGCCAACGAAAAGACCCCAGACCAGGCATATCCACCACACTTCAAGCAGCAGATCACCCACCCACTCCCACCAGCCCTCCCGCCGTCCCTGACGAAGACCTTTGCTTTGCAAAGGTTGTGGCCCTGCAATCTGGACAGGAGGGTGGTTTCACTAAGCACCTCCTCAGGTGCATCTTCGGGGTGTCAGACAGAATGGGCACCTTGAAATCGATACGCGGCGCCCACCGTCGACGCCCAAACTCGGAAAGACGATTCATCTGCCTGACAGCTGCACACTTTGATGGCCTAGGTTGGGTGGAATTCGGCGAATCACCGTCCACCGCAACGGGCCCAGGGAAACCAGACGATTCCACCCAACCCCTCGCGGCCATAAAAACATCTCGCATGCTGCCCCACCTGAGCAGCTCCTTCTAGTGCTCAATCCAGCGGGAACGGAGCTCACGAGATTGCTCAGGCAACGGGTGGCCCGCAGCACCCAGCCTGGCAGATCTGTCCGCATGCTTATTGCCGAGGCGCCCTGCCTCCGAGCAGCTACCGTTCAAGACATCCGAGGCCGTCGCGTGGCCTCTGACTTTGAGAGCAGACATGAGGAAAAACGAGCCCTTCGGATTGGATCTGTCCCCTGCTCTCGGCTTTAAGCCCGTTATATACCCTTTTCCCCCGCCCTTTCTCCCTCTTATCTCTCTCCCATTGCTGCCGGCTCGGTTCGAGCTGGCTTGAGGCGATTTGGTTCCTGGTAGCAGGACTGGAAAAGGGGCCGCATCCTCTCCTCGAGCCCTGCGGGCTCCGCCGCCGACCCCCGCTGCGGGATCGGGAGGTCAGAGGAGGCCCAACCCGGCTCCGCAGTGGTAGCGGAGCCCGCCGCCGCGCGGGCGCCATCGGCCGAGGGGCGAGATCTACGGCGGTTCTCAGTGCAGTGCGAGTGCTGAAGGACGAGTACTACCTGGACGTGTACACGGAGTGCGACGAGGAGGGTGATGCGACCAGCATCGACCCCAGAGCGCTATCCGGCGATGGGCGGCGGCACGCTCTCGCCAGATGCGCTCCCTCCACGGCCGAGTGGAGGACGAGGAGCTTCATGGACGCAGCGCTCCTCGACGAGTTGGGTGACAGCGCCAGCGTGGACGAGCCGCGACCTGGAGGGCATAGCCAGTTGGGGCGGCAGCCCGTCGCGGTGGAGGAGATACAAGAAGGACGTGGCGCTGTGGATTGAAGGTATCAACCTGGACGTGAGCTGGAGCTGGGCGGCACGGATGGTGCGTTGCCTGACAGGCCCCGCCAAGACGCTCGGCGAGTCCATCCCGATGGTGGAGCTGCGGCCCAAGCAGTGGACGTGGATCCCCGAGGAGGCTAGCACCGAGGCGGCCGCTGACGCGGCCGAGAGCGGGGATCACGACGAAGAAGAAGAGCGAGGCCACTGGCAGGAGCCCGGCCCGATGGCGGGCATCAATCGCTTGATGGAGGTGCTGGCGACGATGGGAGTTGACGAGCCGACGCGCAGGGGCCAGGTGATGAACTACTTCTACAAGCAGTTGCATAGGAGGGCCGGCGAGGATCTGAACTCGTGGATGATCAGGTTCGGGGAGGCTCGCAGCCAGTTGGATGAGGAAGACGTGGCCCTACCGGCGAGAACGGCGGGCTGGTGGCTGATCGAGAAGACCGGGCTGAGCGAGACGCAGAAGAGCATGCTGATGACCTCGACCGGCGGAAGCATGGAGATTCGCGAGGTGGTCCCAGCCATGATGCGGGTGTTTCCCAACCTGCACGTCACGGAGCGAAGGCCCATCGCGTTCGACCGCAGCAGGAGACCGATCACCTTCAACCGCCCAGGGACGCAGCTCTTGAAGAAGAAGGTGATTCGGAAGTTCCGAGAGGCGCACGTGACGGAGGACCTTGATGGGGTCAGCCAGTTAGACGAGGGCGAACTCGAGGCGCTGAATGCGGAGCTTGGGAGCTTCGACGGAGACGCCGACGACGAGACGGTCGACGAGGCCCTGGCGACGGAGCAGGACCACGACATAGAGGGCATCCTCGCCGCTGAGCTGGAGGCGCTCTCGACGGTGCTCGAGGAGGCGGAGAACGACCCGGAGCTGGCCCAGGAGCTCGGGAACTTAGAGAGCGGCGCTGAGTCAATGATGGAGGGCCTCATCACGGTGCGCGAGAGCAAGAAGCGCGTGAAGGAGCTTCGAAAGGACCGCAAGTTTGGCGGCAAGGGCGGTGGCAGAGGTTCAGGCTCAAGCTCGAGCAGCGGCAAGAAGTTCACGTCGAACTTCGGCAAGAGCAGTCCCGACAAGAAGAACTCGGACTGCCACACCTGCGGCGAGAAGGGGCACTGGGCTGGTGATGCTTGCTGCCCAAAGCTCAAGGAGTGGAAGGCTGAGCAGGCCAAGAAGAAGCTGCAGCAGCGGTTCAAGCCGAAGGACGCGATGGTGGTGGACCTGCTGCAGACGCCGGAGATTCGGTTGGACGCACAGATGATAGAGATTCAGAAGGACGTGTTCGAGGTGCTGATGACCAGCAATTGCGAGCACGAGCAGGGTGAGACGCCTGTGTTCTGGGTGACGGCAAAAGAGACGGACGACAAGCGCAGTCACCTGGACTACCCGCCCTTCTGCCCGGACTGCGTCTACGAAGGAGACGACCGCGATGTCCGGCGCTCGATGCGCGGGCGGGGCTACACGGAGATTTACGAGGGCGCCGGCCAGCAGGCAGCAGAGGACGATGTCTTGGCGAGCACGACTCGTTCGTATGAAGTCCTGATGGCGACGCAAGTCCTTGGCATGGGGAGTGGTGCCCCCTCTTCTTCCGTTGGCGGAGGGCCTGCAGATGGGCCAGTTCCTGGGATGGGGAGTGATGCCCCCTCTTCTTCCGTCGACCATAGCGCAGGGTCGGCGGATGGCCCAGGTCTTGGTGCTGGGCTGCGCCTCCATTCTTCTGCAGGCCCAATGCCCTCGGATGGGTCAAGGGACGAGCGAGCCATTCAGGAGGTGTTGCTCTCGTCAGCGTCCATCGGGGGTCAAGGAGACGACGGCGCGCTCGACTCAGCCTGCAACAGCACGGCGTCGGGCGACTCGTATGCCAACAGACTCGAGGATCGGCGCAGGGAGCTGGGCATCGAGAACTACATCAAGAAGGAGCCGCAGCTCGCGATCTTCCGCTTCGGGAACGGCCAGAAGCAGATCTCCAAGGAACGCTGGGCGGTGCCGGTGTCGGTCTTCGGCGTGGACGCATACCTGACCTTCTCGGTCATTGAGAACTCGGCGCTGCAGTTGCTCATCGGGAAGGACGCTCTACGTGGCATGGGCGCCGATATCAACTTCGCGGAGGATTCGTTCAAGTCGGACCGGTTCGGCATCACGCCGAAGCAGCTGAACGAGACCGACGGTGGGCACTACTCGATGCCGATCTTCCCGCGTGGAAGCTGGAAGCCGACCTCGGGGATCCCGACGGCGGAGGCGGTCTTCCGCGTCAAGTCCAAGGTGCGAGAAGCGCTGATGACGGTGAAGTCTGAGTTGGCTGCCCGTGAGGCAGACCGACGGGCCGCCGAAGTTGGGGACGTGGTACCTGTGCCCGAAGATGAGGACGACTGGAACATGCCCAACGGAGAGGTCGATGTCTCCGGCCTTGAGATGTGGGAACGTCAGGACTACAACGCGAGGGCGCTCAAGTCCTCGAACCGCGACGGGCCGAACTGGAAGTTGGTGAGGGCCCGAGAGACGTTCTGCATGGATACGGGCGATATCATTGAGGACCTGCGGTGGATCGAGGGGCTATCTAACGAGGAGATGTTCGAACAGCTCGACCCGCCGAGGAACACGATCACTCGGTTCTATTGGGAGCCGGAACCTGAGAGGCCAAGGCCGACCGCGTCCGAAGGCCGGCCGCTACTCTGTGATCGAGATCAGCTCCTACGAGTCCCCCGGGACGTGCTGGGGGACATGGCGACGGTGCTGGAGATTCCGCGGGCGGAGCATTTGAGCGTCATGGTGCTGATCGACCGACTGATGGAGTACGGCGCGACGCAGAGGAGGAGGACCCCTCAGGAGGAAGGCGAGGCGCTCGTGAGCGTGGGTGTGTCGCCTGGAGCCTCAGGCTCCGCCGGGCCAGCGGGTAGCTCGGCCCCTGGGACACCGAGCTCGGCGCTATCTCATGGGGCCAGGAGGCGTATGCGGGTGCTTCCTTCTCTAGGAATCAAGAACAAGGCCGAGCTGGTGGACTACGTGCGCCAGCACGAGGTACCGACGGACGGCAACCCGGAGCTGATGACGATGCCTGCGCTGAAGGACGCGGCCTACGCGCACGACGAGGTGCTGTTCGTGCGGGCTCGCATGGGTCCGAGAGGCCCAGCGGTTGGCAGTGCGGGGGTTCGCCCGCCGCCTTTCGACCCTCGAGCTCGACCCGCTGCTCGGGGACCTTCGGCATTATCGAGGTGGCTGTTCGGCGCGGCGATGCTAGGCATGTGTACGCCGGTAAAAGTTACGAAGGAGGTGAACTTCACGGATCGGGTTGACCTGAACCCGAAGGTGGAGAAGATGAAGCACGGCATCAGGACCCTGGTCAAGGACCAGTTGTACTCCCTGCAGCGCGACCTTGGGACGGTGGACGTCAAGCTAGACGCCTACTTGAAGGAGTTTGGGCCCTCTTTCGGTTCATGGGAGGCCGAGTGCGAGGCGGCCATCAGCGAGAGGACCAAGGCGCAGCCGTGGATTACCGAGGTGTTCACGACCAAGGAGGCGGTGCGCAAGGAGGCGGCCAGGATGGGATTCCCGACGATGCGGAGTTACTCGCTGGAGTTCGGCGATGACCTTAGGTCGCCAAAGAAGCGTCGCGAAGTGCTGCAGGACATCAAGACAAGGAAGCCTAAGATGGTGCTCATGGCCTTTCCTTGTGGACCTTGGAGCAACTTGACGTATTTCCAGAAGGATCAGGCCAAGGTTCGAGAGCGGCAAGATCGAGACCGACCATTTCTGAGATTTGTGAAGGAGGTGACGAAGGTCGTGGAGACCTACGGTGGAGCCTGGATGATTGAGAATCCGAGGTGGTCTCGAGTCTGGAGTGAGCCAGAACTCCAGGGGCTCATTCGGAACGGCTACGCTGCAGAGGTGGACCAGTGCATGCACGGCCTCACCTCGGAGCGCGGGGTAGCACATCGGAAGCCCACGAGGTTCTTAGCGTCACACCAGGAGCTGCTCGGGGATCTCAATCGGCAGTCCGACAAGTCGCACGCCCACCACCTTGTCATGGGCGGCCCGAGCGTGACGGCGCGGACGGGCCACTATACTTCGGAGTTGGCGAGGAGCATCGTGAAGGGTATGCTGAAGCTGTTTGGCACGAATGAGGTGCTCGCGGCTGAGGAGGGCTCCGAGGGGGACCCAGAGGAGGTGGACGACCGGGGATTTGTGGACTTCCCGGCCACGGAGGAGCCCCAGGAGGATATGATGACGCTGAAGGCGACGAAGGTCTCGAAGGAGGTGCAGAACGCGGCGCTCAGGATTCACAAGAACCTTCGACATTCCTCGAGGGATCAGCTCGTGAGGGCGTTCCGTGCCCGTGGGGCAAGCGACGAGGCCGTCGCTGCCGCGATGCAGCTGAGGTGCCCGGTGTGCCATGAGATGAACAGACCAGCGGTCGGACACACCAGGTTCCCCGCACGGCTGAAGAAGGTGAAAGAGTTCGGCGATCAGATTGCGATCGACCTGTTTACGGTGCATGCGAACTCGGGCGTGGCGCTGGAGATGCTCAACATTGTGGATATCAAGACAGGCTTCCAGGTGGTCGCGCCCATTAAGAGTAAGCATCCCGGCATTGTGGCCCAGGCGGTGGAGCTGGTCTGGTTCAGCTGGGCTGGGGTACCTCACTCGCTGGTGTGCGACAACGGCGGCGAGTTCGGAGGTATTCCGCTTGCTGGAGGGCTGCGGGGTGCAAGTGTGGTTCACGGCGGTGGAGGCGCCGTGGCAGAACGGCATGTGTGAACGTGCTGGAGGCGAATGGAAGGTGCTCTGGAAGGCCAGTACCACGGAGAAGGATATCGAGACCGAGCTGGAGGTGACTGCTGCCGCAGTGATGATCACCTGGGCCAAGAACCAGCGGATCAACGAGTCCGGGTTCTCGCCAGCGCAGCTCGCGCTAGGACGGTCCCAGACCTTGCCGTGGGGACTACTCAGCGAGCGCGGTCGTTCACAGCTCGCGGCGCACGAGGCGGTGGACAACGACCCGTACATGACGAAGCGGCTGCAGGTCTACAGCGCGGCGAAGGTGGCCCTGGAGAAGCTGGATGCCAGCAAGCGACTACGACGCGCTCTAGTTGCTCGCAGCCGCCAGATGCCTCCCAGCACGAATGTGAAGCTCGGCGATGTGGTCTACTTCTACCGCGAGGGCAAGCGGAAGAACCGGCGGAAGAGGGGCCCGTCCTTGATCTTCAAGGCCTGGCATGGTCCGGCGGTCGTGATCGGTGTGGAGCCGGCAGCCATCTACGTCTCGTACGAGGGGTTGTCGACCAAGTGTGATCTTGCGGCAGTTCGCCGCGCATCGCCAGATGAGGCGCTGGGGATCAGTGCCAGAGAGCAGCTGGACATCATGGAGAAGGCTCTCCTCGACATGAAGACTGAGGGGGAGCTCGACATGGAGGATGCGACCAAGGGGTATGAGGACACGGACGAGGTCGGCCCGATCGACGAAGGTGAAGCGCCGGAGGATGAAGCTCGACCTTCTCAAGCTGACGAGGACGTCGAGGGGCAGGCCGAGCAGGATCAGCAGGAGTCGACGGCAGAGATCCCACCATCAGCCGTCGTGGCTGCGATGGCAGGTACTTCGGCCAGTGGTGAGCTCGATCCCATTTCGAGCGCTGAGTTCTCGCGGAAGACGAGTTCTCGGGAGAGCGGGAAGACGGACTTCCTGCAGGACGTGGCGCAGCGGCTGCGGGACCAGGGGGAGGACCCGATCCGGTCAAAGACGCTGCGCGTTGCGAAGACCATCCAGAAGCAAGTTGGAGAAGTACGTGAGCGCGCGAGGGCTTCGACCGCTACGGTACCGGTGGCGAACGTCGTTCCAGACGGGCAGTTCGGGCCCTACGGCAACTTCGCGCCAAAGACGCCGCGCGCCGAGGACGACGAGGACGAGGATCAAGGACGTGAAGGTGATGCTTCGAGCCTTGGCACGCCTGCGGTGGAGACGGTGTCTGTGGAGCCTGAGGTCCAGCCTCATGGCAGGAATCGTGATGTGGTGGAAGCTGAGCTGCCTGAGGTACCATCTCGTGGAGGACGTGAAGGGCCACCGGAACCCAAGCACCCCGACGAGGCGCTGTGGGTCAAGGGTGTGAAGAAACGAGCTACAGCATGGCTCCAGGGTGCTCCTGAAGCAGATCGACGGCGCTTTCTGGATCACCTGGAGACGGTACCTGCGGTTGATCCACAGTTGGAGGCGATGCTCGTTCAGGGCCAAGCCCGGAAGGAGAAGGTCTGGAGTCGGATGGACCCACCTACGAAGGCGAATTACGAAGAGGCAGCGGCGTCGCAGTGGACCAAGTGGATTGACACGGAGTCCGTGGAGGTGCTGCTGGAGAAGGAGTCCGCTGAACTCGAGGAGCAGATGAAGCGCGAAGGCAAGGGCGACTACACCATGAGTACGCGGTGGGTGCTGACTGACAAGAACGATCCGCTGAGGACGGAGGCGAATGACCTACCGTTGAAGGCGAACGCGAGGCCGGTGGTCAACAGTGGCGACCCGGGGCGTTCGGACGAGAAGGCCAACGTGAGAGTGGACGCGCCCTGCGCGACCACCCAGTCGGAGATGATTTTGACGCAGGTAGCTGCGTCTCACCCGGAGTGGAAGTTTGGATCGAAGGACGTGAGTGGCGCGTTTCTCAAGGGCGAGGTGGACGAGCGCGGCTTGGTGATTCGCGCTCCGATGCATGGTCCCTCGCTCGCAGATTTTCCTCGAGGCCGACTGGCGCGAGTTCGGAAGGGCGTGTTCGGACTGCCTACGGCGCCGAGGCTGTGGTACCTGAAGGTGGTCTCTGCAGCCCGCAAGTTGGGACTCGAACCTTCTCGCTCGGACCCCGCATTCTTGGTGCTCCACAACCCGAAAGGGAAGAAGCGTGGGCCGGACACGATGTGGGGCTGTGTCTGCGTGCATGTGGACGACTTCCTCTGGACGGGGAACGAGAAGATGGCGACTGTGATGGACGCGCTGGGCAAGGAGTTCGGCTTCGGCAGTGAAGAGTACGATAACTTTGTGTTCTGCGGCAGGCGGTTTCAACGACAGCCTGGAGGAGCTATCACTATTGACATGATGGAATATGCAGCTGGGCTGGAACCTGTGATTGTACCCCGGGGACGACGCACAGTGGCGCACCAGCCCATGAACGCCATGGAATGGAAGCAGTATCAGCAGGTGGTCGACAAGATCAACTGGCTGGTGACCAAGCTGCGCGTGGACTACCCGCACGACCTGGCGGTGCTGCAGCGCGAGAAGGGACGCAAGAAGGGCCCGAGGATCGCGGCGCTGATCAAGGCGAACCAGTTGCTGAGGGAGTTGAAGCGCAGCTCGACGTTCAAGATCACGATGCGACCGATCGACCTTCGGAGATTCGGCCTGGTGGTGGTATCAGACAGCTCACTGGGCAATTTGATGAGCGACGGGACGGCGTTGCAGTCAGATCCGGCGACCGAGAAGATTGGTACTCAGGCCGGTTTCCTCATCCTGTTCGCGGATCGCGCGCTCGTGGACGGCGGCGCGGGCCGGTTCTCGTTGTTGGAGGGCGAGAGCCACAAGCTGAAGCGCGCGGCGAGGAGTTCCTACGCTGCGGAGGTGATCTCCGTGGGAGACGCCGTGGACGTCGCCCAAGGGATGCGCGACCAGATCGCGGAGATGTTGTACGGCCCCGTGGCAAGGGGCGCAGGCATGAAGCTGTCGGGCTGGCAGATACCAATGACGATTGTGACGGATTCGAAGGACGGCCACGACAGGCTCAACTCAGACGCCGGAGTGGGCAGCTCGGCGCAGAAGTCGGTAAACCTAGAGTTGGCCAGCATCAGGGAGATTCTAGATAGGCCGCAGACGATGGTTCGTTGGACGGACGGGACTAACATGTTGAGCGATGCTCTGACAAAGGACATGCCGGCGGACCATCTTCGAGAGACGTCAGAGCGCGGCACGTGGAGCATCGAGTTTAGAGAGGAAATGGTGAAGACGGCCCGGCGTGTCGCTCGAGAACGCTGGGAATCCAGAGTGAGGGAGTTGGCCATGGCAGGTTTACACCCGGAGTCCTTGAGCCATAGTGGATGATCTGGACCTCTCCTTTCCTCCTCCAATTGTCTAAGCTCGTGTCGTGCCGAGGCTAGTGCAAGTTTGTACGCTCGAGTGCGGTGTGGTGCTAATTATCTACTCTCTCCTCCTTTTCCTCGGAATATGTACATCCGATTGGACCGGCTGGTCCGGTTGCGTATGGTGAGAGTAAACGACAGGATTTCTGGACAGAGTTTTCTGTGTTTTGATTTCATGAGCCCGGTAGCGTTGGTTCTGGGCTCGCTCCATATTGTAATTTCACCGCCATGGGTCGCGACCATGGCGCCTTTGTCTTGGATGACTGAATGGATGGTTTGCCTATCAGAGGTCGGCCATCGAACTGGGCACAGATCCACAAATATTAGAATCCGTGAGGAAAAACGAGCCCTTCGGATTGGATCTGTCCCCTGCTCTCGGCTTTAAGCCCGTTATATACCCTTTTCCCCCGCCCTTTCTCCCTTTTATCTCTCTCCCATTGCTGCCGGCTCGGTTCGAGCCGGCTTGAGGCGATTTGGTTCCTGGTAGCAGGACTGGAAAAGGGGCCGCATCTTCTCCTCGAGCCCTGCGGGCTCCGCCGCCGACCCCCGCTGCGGGATCGGGAGGTCAGAGGAGGCCCAACCCGGTTCCGCAAGACAGACCATTTTCAAAAACATGCCAAACCTTGGGCCAGAGGTGCGCCCGAGGATTCTGGGACGAGCAGCTGCCGGCCCTGTCCCAAACACAATCGAGGGTCCCCTGGCAATCCGTAAAAAAACGTGTTGTCGGGAAACGGTTCAACAAGTCCTGACGCCATTTTGTAGGCGTAGTCTTCGCCATCTCTAGCCTGCTGCCACGGGGCATTTTCACAGGGCACAGGCCGCCCATAGGCAGCAGAAATCAAATCTCCAAGTTCGTTAGTCTGGACCGGGCTCCAACCAGCCCTGCGGATTTCAGCACACTGAGGGTTAATCGCCGAACCGTCCGTAAAAATTCGACCACTCAGCCTACCAGAGGCTGGCCTGTTGAACCACAACACATTACAGGCAGCTTTCCCAACAGCAGCCTCCCTCACCGAGGGCAGGACAAGCGGTTGTGGACCGAAGCGAAGCCATGGCCCGCAGGGGGAGCGAGCGCACGACGTTGGTGCAGCGTGCACTGCCCCCTCCGTGGTGGGCGGCCCCTGGGCAGAGGGCAGGATCCTGGCACCTGAGGGTGAGCCGGACCGTGGAGCTCGCGGACCTTGGCCGGACGAAGAGTTGAGGTGTGGCCCCACGTGGTTGTAAAGCGTGCCCGTCGCGCGGATCAAGAGCGCGAGCTCCCGATTGCCAGTGTCCCCCATGGCCAGCACACGGGCGCCCTCCGCAGGCGGGGCCGACCCCAGAGATGTCTCCACGTACGTCCCTGTGCAGCCCGTCCACTCCGAGGAGCCATTCCTTGTCCGGACCCGTTCGGGGGACCAGAGGAAGATGCACCGCGCAAACGAACCACGACTGGCCATGCGCATGGAGCGAACGCAGCCACAGCCGGCGGTTGGAGCCCACAAGTTCAGGCTTACCTGCCGAGGACCACCGCACCTTGTCCCAAATGACCGCGACGCTGGCGCGAGACGGCCCGCCCCGCGCTTCGATGCTTACACCGGCATGCCCAGGTACAGCAACCAGTGCGGCGCGCACTTGGCAGCCCCGGCACGACGAGGTCGAGCCGGCGGGAAGCTTCCGAGGTGCCCGCCTTGCGATCCGCGAAGACGCCCCGGCGCACTCTGGAGACACCTGTGGAGAGGCAGCCCACTGCACACGGAGAGCCTGCTCCCATCCTCACACCCGAGGGCAGGGGGACGAACAATGACACAGACATGAAAACTCAGAGGTCCGCGCTGGGCCCCCCTCTCTGGCGCGCGGAGCGCGCCAGGGGCGGCGCCGGAGGCGCCGCCAGGGGGGGTCCAGCGCGGATCCGAGAAATCCGCGCGCACCTCCGAGTTTCTATGTTTATGTCATTGTTCGTCCCCATAGAGTCAGCGAGCGAAAAACGGTATAAAATAAACTTTTTCGCTGTCGGGGGCGGCTGTCCCTGGGCGGCTGGAAAGTTTATACCCCTACGGTGCCACCGTAAGGGTATAAACTTTCCAGCCGCCCAGGGGCAGGTGTCCCCGACGGCGGAAAGTTTATGTTATACCGTTCTTCGCCCGTTAATAGAGGGGGCGCGTTATCCCCACCTCCGCCTGCTCAGGCCAGGCTCCGTCGCTGGGCGGGCCGACGGCCCCCACCACCCCAGAGCCCACCCCAGAGACGCAATCGGCTCGGGGAGGGACGGGGAGGGCGGACTGGGAGGAGGGGAGGAGGGGAGGAGGGGAGGAGGGGAGGAGGGGAGGAGGGAAGGAGAGGAGGAGGGGAGGAGGGGAGGAGGGGAGACGTCCCCCCCGGGCCTGCCGCCGATCCTCCGCCTGTGGGCATCTGGGGGCTCGCACTCGACGGGCCCCCTTCGGGGGCCCTTGGAGGACGGCGTTCGGGAGGCGAGGCGGGCCCGGAGTTCCGTCGGGCGGACGGCCGCGGGGGGCGGGGGCAAGAAGCGCGAGAGGAGGCACCGCTGCGCTGTGCCTCGTGTGCGCGGGCGTGGGGTTCCCGGGGAGCCCTCGCTGCGCCACGGCCGGAGGCGAGGTGCGCCCCCGTCGGGGCGAGGTGCGGGGAGCGGCGCTTAAGTCGAAGCCTTTTTTCTGCGGTCTCCCCCAAAGCGTGGGGGATCGAGGGCTGCAGGGAGGTGGCCCCGAGGGGTCCCGAATGGCCCCTGGGCCGTCGCCGCGGGGCCAAGAGAGTGCGCGGGAGGCGCATGCGTTTCTTCACCCTCTTTGTCTGTTGTCCCCCCGTTGATGAGAAGACCGATGCGGAGAGACACCGCGTGGAACGGATCGCGGCGTCGCAGGTCTGGGTCCTCCTCCCCCGCGCTGCCCTTCGCCCTCCGCCTCGGCCGAGGCGCGCGCGGGCCAGGAAGGCGCGCCAGACTCGGCGATCGGCGCCTCATCCATGCCATCGCTGCTGCCTCGAACTCTGAGGAGCGCCAAGGGGCAGGGCATGGATCGAACAGAAGCTCGGCATGTCCAAAGGCTGGACGTGGTCCCCGCCCCAGCCTTGCCCCCTGGGGGTACGGCAGGCTCGCGCCGCGTTGATGCGGGGACGACCCCAGCGTGGGCGTTCGAGGTTGAACGTCGCCAGTGGCCTGGGATCGGCCGATTGAAGACGGTCTGCGCCATCGCCAAGCCGCTTTCGTTCAAGGTTGAACGACCCAAGCGGCGTCAGAAACCAACGCACAAGTCGTGACGACACGAACCCGCCGCATGGATGAAACGCCGATTGCCTGCAGACGCGCCGACCTGCCCCAGTGCGGGGTGAGGTGCGCGCGCCAGACGCGCCGACCTCTGGACGACGCCAACCACGTGCCAGACCAGTTCGATACACGATTTTCCGCACATGCTGTCACGTTCGACGGCGTGTATCAAGCGTTCTCTCCCCTCCGCCTTGTGCTCCCCTCTCCCCCCGCATCCTTCTCACTCTTCCTCCTTGTCACTCCTCATCCCTCCTCCTCCTCCTCCTCCTCCTCCTCCTCCTCCTCCTCCTACGTCTCCGCATCCTCCTCCTCGTCCATCTCTTCCTCGTCATCATCAGCAGCAGCATCATCATCACCAGCATCACCACCACCAGCATCTTCATCATCATCATCATCATCATCATCAGCATCGTCAGCATCATCATCAGCAGCATCATCGTCAGCAGCAGCAGCATCAGCATCATCACAATCGCCATCATCATCATCATCATCAGCAGCATCATCATCATCAGCATCATCAGCATCATCATCATCGGTGTCGTGATCATCAGCATATTCAGCATCATCACCAGCATCAGCATCACCATCACCATCACCATGATCATCAGCAGCATCATGACCAGCATCATCAGCACCATCATCATCGTCGTCGTCATCAGCATCCTTCTTCTCTTCCCTCCAACAACATAATCGACACCTGGGCCGCTACAGGAGTGCTCTTTGACGAGGAATTTCGAGGCGGGCCTAGCCGTGGCGACGAGAACGGCCCCGTGGCGGCCTCCTCCCTCCCCTCCTCTCTCCCCTCCTCCCTCCCCTCCTCCCTCTCATCCTATCTTCCCTCCTCCCTCCTCCCTCTTTCTCCCCTCCTCCCTTCTCTCTTCACTCCCCTCCGCCCTCCCCTCCGCCCTCCCCTCCTCCCTCCTTCTCCGAGTCTGGTGCACGGTTGGCGTCGTCCGACGTCATCCGCCTGCCACTTGCGCTGGACGGCGCTCTGATCGCCCCTACCAGGCGCCGCCATCCAGGCGTGCCTCTAGCACTGCCGCCCAGATTGGAGGTTCAAGCTTCGAGAAGGAAGAGGAGGAGGAGGAGGAGGAGGAAGAGGAGAAGGAGGAGGAGGAGGAGGGACAGAAGGAGGAAGAGGGAAAGGAGGAGGAGGAGGCTCGATGGGGAGGAGGGGGAGGAGGAGGATGAGGGAGGGAGGGAGAAAGGGAGGGACGGAGGGAGAGAGGGAGGGAGGGAGGGAGGGAGGAGGAGGAGAAGGAGGACTGAGGCGGAGACGGAGGGGAAGGATGAGGAGGAGGAACAAGAGGAGGAGGAGAAGGAGGAGGAGGAGGAGGAGGCTTCGACGGTCGAGGAGGAGGAGGAGAAGAAGGAGGAGGAAGGGCTCGAGCAGCAGGAGGAGGAGGAGGAGGAGGAGGAGGACAGGCTCTGTATGTCAGAGCCACCTTCAGCTCGAAGCTCGAAGCTCGAGACTCGAGCAGGAGGAGGAGGAGGCTGCCACCTGGACAACGCTCTGATCGCCGCCCAAGGCTCCGCACGCTGCGCCTGGCGCCGCCGCCGTCGGGCGCGCTTCTGGCATGGTTACCCAAATGGGAGGAGGAGGAGGAGGAGGAGGAGGAGGAGGAGGGGCTCGATGAGTAGGAGGAGGAGGAGGAGGAGGAGGAGGAGGAGGAGGAGGAGGAGAAGAAGAAAAAGAAGAACCCCGAGGGTCGAGGAGGAGACTTCGAGGGTTGAGGTTAGAGCGCCTCGGGTGTCGAGGCTTGAGGGCCTCGAGGGTCGAGGTTTGAGGGCTTCGAGGGTCGAGGTTTGGAGGACTTCGAGGTCTGAGGACATTCGAGGCTCGAGGAGGAGCAGGGGGAGGATCTCGGGGCTCGAGGCGCGAGGAGGAAGAGGGGGGCTTCGCGCGGACTTCGAGGCGCCAGGATGCGGAGGAGGCCTCCGACCTTTTCGGGCGCTCAGTTTTCCTGCGACCCCCCGGAGATCCTCTGGGACATCCGGCGGCGGGGCCCCTCGCTCGTCTTGGGCGTCGCGTAGTGGGGGGGGGCGATAATCGGGGAGGCATCTGGGGGCCGTGGGTGGGCGCTGCTTCGCCTCTGGCCCGGGAGGCGAACCTTAGGCGGCCGTCAGGGACCTCGCCCGCGCTCACCGCGGAGGCCTCCCGCTCCTCGGGCTGGTGCGGATCCGTCCCCTGGACTGCGCGGGCCTTCCCTGCGCCGCCCGCGCGGGGTTGTGCCCTGTCCGCCGCCACGGCCTGCCCGTCGACACGTGGGGGCCCTGAAGGGCCCGAATGGGGGCCCTGATGGGCCCGACAAGTGCACCTTTCTTTCCCCGCCTCCTCCTCCTTCTCCTCCTCCTCCTCCTCCTCCTCCTCCTTCTCCTCCTCCTCCTCCTCCTCCTCCTCCTTCTCCATTTATAACCTCCCCATTAAGCGACGCCCAATCGGCCCTGGCGCGGCGCCCGGTTGAGTTCCGCTCAACGTTCCGTCCTCCAGGCCGCCCAGGCGGGGCCGGAGCAGACAAGGGGCCGGAGAAGCTCGGGCGGGTGGTCAGGGGGAAGGGTTCGCCACGGGGGGAGCTGGCCCTGAGGGAGACGGGTCCTGAGATTTTCGCCGTTTTCCGGCTCCCGGGGCCCTCCACGGGCCCCGGGAGTGCCAGAAAGCAACCCGGGATGGCAGATTCGTCTTGGGGGGAGGCCGTAGGGCCCAGGATCTGTTTCCCTCAGGACCCGTTTCCCCCATGCTAAGGGGTGACCTAAATTGGGGAGTGGAGACAAGGGCCTTCGGGCTTGTATCCCTCACACCCCACGTAGGTCACCCTCCAACAGCCGCCCGAATTCCCCCATCAAAGAGTTGCGGATAAGTGCCAGATGTTCTCGATTCCGTCATTGCCAAGCCGATGGCATCACCGATGCATCGGCGATGCGGCGCGATCTTTCGGTTCCACCGACTCCAGCTCCAGTGCGGTTGTTTCTCTTAGGTCGGCTCCAGGCCGACAGCGTTGCGTTCCGAGGGGAGTGTTTCTCTCAGGCCACGGTTCACAACACGGTCTTATCGCAGATCGTTTTGTGTGGCGTCTCCAGTGTGCCTGGCGGCTTTTCGACTCGCACTGCAGCTACCGCCGCATTAAGTCGAGTTTGGATGTTCGCGCTCCGCTCTCCTCAAAAAATGTGTTCCGAGAGGATGATCTCATCGATCACAGCGATCACGAGCACAAAAATAACTTGACGATTGCTCTCATCCAAACCAGGGAGATTGTCCTGCGGGGCCCTGCAGTCGGGGTCATCGCCTGATGGCACCCAGGCCCGAAGGCGGTGGAAAGCCTCGAGCACTTACGTCTTGAACTCTTCCAGACACTGGAGGTTTGGGTCTTGGTCGTCGCCCTCTCCCCAAACTTCCCCGCCTGACCCCCCCAGACGTGTCATGCAGTGGGGGCCCATGCCAAGAAGCACCTTGCTTGCCTCCAGAGTGCCCTGGGCTTCTTGGGTTCCGATGGTCTTGCTGTGGAAAGCGCGACGCTCCCACACCAAAAGTCCATGGACGTCCTGGGGTCTCAGGGTTGGGTTTCTTTTGTTATGATATTCCACCCTACTGTAGCCTTGATCACCAGAAAGAACTTCGAGCACCCTAAAAGTACCGAAACTCGGGGGTTGTCGCGTGTCGGGCCCTGGGAGGCACTCGTCCGACACTGTTTCGACACTGTGTCGACACTCTTTCGACACTTTTACGGGTGCTCGAACATATGTCTGGGATGTGGTCTTTCAGTACGATGGGAGCAACACAATTCTTGTGGAAGGTTTCTTGTGGACTGGCCTCCACTGTGAGGTCCGCTTGGCTTCGAGCGGCGCCCAGCCGAAGCCGACGAGTCGCCCCACGGAGGCCCAAAGGGAGGCACAGCACCGCACAGAAGCCTCGGCCCTCGATCTGCGGGCATTGTCCCCATGGAGGATCGACCGTCGACGTCGTCGTCGTCGTCGTCGTCGTCGTCGTCGTCGTCGTCCTCTCCCTCCTCCTCCTCCTCCTCCTCCTCCTCCTCCTCCTCCTCCTCCCCTCCTCCTCCTCCCCCTCCTCCTCCTCCTCCTCCTCCTCCATCCTGCCTCCTCCTCCTCCTTGTCCTTCTCTGTCCTTCTCTGCCTCCTCCCTCGATCCACTCAGCCCTCGATCCTCGATGATCCTCGATCCTCGATCCCCTCCTCCTCGGCCCTAGGTACACTTGCAAAAAGGTTCGGAGGCCCGAGCGGATCTCTTAGGTCTGCGCCCGACCCCCTCCTGGCGACGCCTCTGGCCCCGCCCCAATGGTGCGCTTCGCGCGCCATGGGGAGGGATGTCCTGCGCCGGCCCAGGAAGTCCACGCGGATCCCCCCAAGTCGATGCTCATGTCGACTCAGGAGGGAAAAACACACACAGACACAATTAATCGCCGATGGGGAAGACAGAAACCCAGAAAATATAGGAAAATATAGGGAATCGTTTTATTTGTGTGTGTTTATTTGTGTGTCCCAGGGCCCCTTCGTCGACGTCTGCTCGCCTGTCACCAACTCTCAAGTAAGACGATTATTTTTCGCAGTTCCACCTTTTCTCGGCTGATGACGTCTTGGCCATTGGCCTCCTCAGTGGGGCCAGAGTAGATGGGGTCGGAGGGTCCCGCAGCATCGCCGATGCATCGGCGATGCGGCTCGATGTGGGGCACAAGTTTCTCCACGCCGACGTCGCCGATGCAACGCCGACGTCGCCAGTGCATCGCCGATGTATCGGCGATGCGGCGAGATCCTCCGACCCCATAGATTCGGATCCAGTCTAGGAGGTCTCTACGACGTCTTTGGACTTGAGCCCATGCGCCGCTTGGTACGCGGTTGTCTTCCCAGCTCACGTGGCCGTCATTCCCCAGCTTGTGCTTTGAGTGGCTGCCCCCTTGGTGGCCCACAGACCGGACCAGACCTGACGTCCTCGACCCTCATTCCCCGACCCTCGACATCGGATTCTCGATCGCCCTCTTCCGCCGCGGTCGTGTGCCATCGGCGGCGCCCGCCCCACCTTCGCCGCGGGGCGCCCGCCGACAGGAGTGCTGCCCAGGCTGCGCGGGCTGCTTCACGTCTCACATGGCGATTGAGCTCGTGGCCGAGGCCTTCGGGTCCTCCCTTCCGTCTCCCACCTGCTGTTGGCGCGCTTTGGGTCGCTTAGTGTCTCACTGCTGGGTGCCACCCTTCGCTTCGGGGGGACGGGCGGGTAGGATCGCGCACCCCGTTATCACCCGAGTTCGGGGACATGAGAGTCAATTAATCAGCACGCAGATTGTTGTAATGCCGCGTCCGACCGACCAGTGTTGCGTCAAAGCCTGAATGCAATAACAAGGTCGCCTTGCTGCTGTCCCCCGTGCTTACCCAGAAACGTCAGCAATCGAGAAGTGATTCCGAAAAGCGCATGTGTTGAACACCTTTTGTGTAGATGTACTTCTTCTGGACGATGCAGTCTGGTCAGCCCAGGTTTCACTTTCCTTCCTCCTCTTCTTCCCTTCTCCCTCCTCCGTTCCTCCTCCCCTCTTATCCCCACTCCCCCCCTCCCGTCTCCAATTGTTCACCCTTCCATCCTCCTCATCCTCCACCCCTCCCTGCCACATCTCATCTCTATCCTCCCCCATGTTCTACTTCCTCGCCCTCCGTCCTCCTCGCCATTCTCTCTCATCCATCCTTCCCCCTTCTTTTGCCCCACCTCCACCACCTTTCACTCGAACGGTATCTGTCCTTCACCCCGTTCTTACCAGGTGTTGCCTGTGCCTTCGTTGCCGCTTGCAGCCTGGCCAGGCATCGCGCCAGCTAGTAGTCTCGTTTTACAGATTGCTTTACATTCCGCTTTCAGAAAGGACCACCACTCACCCACATCTCCTCACATTGATGTCTCTGGTTGGTAGCGGAGCTTCGGTTCAAAGACCACGGCCGCCATGTCTCGCATTGGTTCGACGGCACCCCTCCGCCGCTACAGCTGGTCGCGCCGCTTTGCATCCGCTGTAGTCTCGCCGTCATGCATGTATCCCCGATTACCTTGGCAGGAGACGTCGTTCTCGGGTCCGTCGGGGCAGCACCAACCCATCCGCCAGGACAAGCGACGACGGGAAACACTGATTTACCATTGCAAGTACACGAACGGGACCGTCAAGGACCGCGGCCACGCCGCCGCCCATGGCGACGATGAATATCGTGGCGCGCCGGGGTGTTCAGCGATCTTCCCCAGGCTTGCACTGACTGTGTCAGCGTAGCTCGCGGACCCTGCGATTTCGATGCGCGCGCATGTGCGAATAACCACACGGGCCGGACAACTGCTGGATACAACGTTCACATCCACGGCATCGGTCGAGGGTCTCGAGATTGTGGTGATGGCGTCACGAAAGGCCCGGGAAGAGCATGCGAAGAGGAGTGGGGAGACGTTGGAGGGTTTGTCGACAGTGTCACTCGCACCCCGACGAACAGCGAAACGGACCTGGGAAAACCCGCCGTCGAGCTCTTGCAGCATGACCGTTCACCTTGCCCACGCATTCCCTGCAGCTGAACAGGACTGGGTCCCGATGTTCACTTCTCTTGACGATCGCGCAGCTGGCGGTGTTCAATATACAGCGACAACCAGATGCACGACGAAGATACACCTGACTGCGTCACGGGATGTTCCTCGCACCGAGAGCGCTACCACCACGCGACAGCAGCAAAGGTCCAATACGCAGACCAAGAGGAACACATCTGGGCAAGTGTCTACGGCGGCTCGGACGCACGCTTCCCGGGCAGCGCCGCCAGTGGATCCCCCGCCCTCAGCACCTCCACAGCACCTGGAGGGAGATGCACTCCATATGGAAGGCCATCGGAATGGGAATGATTGCGTCACCAGCTGCATCGCTTGCATGGAAAAGGGCAGCGGCAGCGGCGACGCACGACACCTCCGCGCGTGGGGGCCCGAGCAGCAAGTTCGAGTGCTCTTCCTGTGGTGCGCTCGCGAGGCGATGATCTAGTCAGCAGCAAACCCAAGGCTCCATGAGTTTTCGCCAGGCGGCCCACGTCTCGTCGCGCCCGACTGGCACGGCGCGCGAGCACGCGGGGGAGCGGCCGCCAGCTGCCTTGATTCAGGGAGGACTCCTCAACGGCAACCCAGCGCCACCTACGATCTTCCCGATGCTTAGTTCGGCCGAACGGCGAGGCCAATTGGGCGAGGAGGAGCGCGCCGCGGCGGCGTGACACTGATGAACTTCAACCGACCGCCGCAAGAGTGCATCGACAACCTCCTCATTGGGTCGGACATCGTCCGCAACGGGGCGCAGCCAGCTGGTCAATTCATGATCGGAAACGAAGGCCTCAGCTTCCCCTGGCTGCGCGCCACTGGCGCGTCGAACATCCAGCTGGCCATGATTTCGCAGCGCTGCAACATGGCCTGCCCCACGAACACAGCGCAGCTCACGCGCGCGACGGGGCAGCCGCGGCGCTTCGGGCACGCGGTCGAGGGATCGCCAGGCAACCTCGCTTCGGCGATCCAGTCTGCCCAACTGCACACCTTCCGCACGGGTGCGCCCACGCGAGATCAGGCCCAGGGCGCCCGCGGCACCGTGAGTGGATCGAGCAGGGAGGGCATGGGCCCAGCCACGTCGGGCGCGGCACCTAGCCCACGCGCGCCGGCAGCCGCTGGCGCCACCCGCGCGGCGCCACCCGCGCAGGGGGGCATTCCCGGCAGCAGACGTCGAGTCAGGCACCGACCTCGACGCGACCAGCTCTTTCGGCGAAGCCACTGCCGCAGACGAGCTACGCGACGCTCCTGTGGAACAGCGCGGTGCGAACCTCTTCTCGGCATGCGAGCGCGCCGAAGCACGCCGGCGCAGCTTCGGGAACGAACGGCCCGCGCGCCGCGACCGGAGGGTCATCGAGCGAAAGTGCAAGGGCCACGGTAAAAGCTACCGCGCATCCCTGGCCGACGCGCCCGAACACGACACGCTGGGCACTTTTCGCGGGCTCCGGGAAGGACAAACGCACGGTGGGAGGGAAGTGCAGGGCTAGCGGCGCGGGCACAGGCCGCCAAGGCAACCCCGCGGGCCCTGCCGGGCCACGAGTTCGACTCCGCGGGGCACCGTGCGCGCCATTGCCCCCAGCGCCGCAAGCAAATGCGCGGCGCTCTCTCCCATGTCGCTCATGACCACCAACACTTTCACCACTTGCGCTTCGGGGGCAGCGGGGGCCACCGGGGCCATCCGAGCAGCGACCCGCGCCAGGGGCGCGCGCGGCGCGGATGGCCAGGGGCGCCCCCGGGACTCCGCAGCCTGTGGCTCCAGGCACCAGCGCAGGCGATCTCGCGCAGACCGCTGGCCCCAGGAACGGAGGACAGCCAATTCCAGCAGCATCAGCGCCGCGGCCAGCAGCCCAGGTGACCACTTCAAGTGCGTCGTCAGACGGCTCTTGGCAACCAGTTGGCCGCAGCCGGGCCGCGATAGATGGGCGCGTCATCTTCGCCGTCGCCCCCCAAACCTTCGCGACGCCGAGTTGCGACGACTGCGACAGGAGACGGCAGAACTTACGAACCGCGTGCAAGGCCCCGCGCAGTCGGCGGGGCCTGCGACTGCGTCGCCGGCCCGCGCGGCAGCGGCGAGGGAAGCAGCGCCGCCCGCAGCGGCCATGGGAGAGGCAGCCGGACCAGCAGCGCCAACAGCAGCAGCAGCTTCCACAAAACCACCACAACCCATACCACAGCCCATCCATTGGGACATGCTCAGGGGCGCGACTGGGCAAGCGACCTCAACGCACGAGCTGCCGCGCTTCTGGCCCCGCCTGCCGGCGCGCAGTTGCCGAGATGGGCTCGCGCGCCTTCAGTCTCCGCCCTCGGCGTCAGCACCCCGCGTGGGCCGCGCCCCACGTGGCCGCCACAGTCCGCGCCAGTTGTCGGGCCACCGCCAGTGCTAGAGTCTCCCCAGGAACTGTCTCTGTTTAACATTAGAACACTGCCACGCGGTTCGCCGGCCGCGAGACCTAGATGGCCAGTGGCGGCCGATCCGAGCACAACGCGGGCACCGCTGTCGGCCGCGCGCAGCGACGGCGCCTCGACGAGCTCCGCAGCACGCAGCTAGCATGTGAGCACATGTGGCAGCAGGACGAGCAGCGACGTCAGGACGCACAGAGTTGGGCAGAAACCCTTGTTGATCCCCCTCCTGCGCCGGCCGCAGCACCTGCCGAGCTTCGCGGCGGCTTTCACCGGCGACGATAGGGAGCGCCCCGTCTGCTTCGAGGCCACCCAGCTCGACGGGGGGGCGGCGCGCCCGCGCTGCTGCCACATCTTGCACCGCGCACGCCATCTGCAGCTGATGCAAGGCACAGGCCCGCATGGCGCACTGTCTGGCGCGCCGCGGCCCGTCCGACGTCATCGCCGATTTCCGCTTCGTTGGCGCAGATCGCGCGCCCGGCCACCTGCGGCGCCGGCCCGCGCGGCAGCAGACAGGGGCGTGCCAGGGGGGGGGCCCGCCGCAGCAGGACCTCGCGCAGTCTCCCCGACCGGCCCATGTCCACGGGACGCTTCGGCAAGACCTCGCGCAGTCGCTGGGCAGCGCGTCCATCTTCGCGCCCGCAGTGGGCGCGCCGGCGCCTTGCGACGTCCGCCAGCGCCCGCGCGCGCCGCCACCGCGCAGGCCGACGCCCCCGTGGCGGCCGACTTCGTCGGGCAACTGCTCTAGTTCACCGAATGAGTCGAATGGCAACCTGGCGAGCATCGATCCACCAGACGGCCGCTTAGGCGCCGCGGTCGACACCGGCGCCTGGACGAACGATTGGGGACTGCGCTTCGCCATGAATTCGGCCGGCAAGGCCCAACAGGCGAGGCCGCAGACCTCCTGAGAGAAGTTGCCAACGCCAGCGTGCCTAGCAGGAGCTGGTTTTGGGTCGCAGGCAGCGAACTGGGAGGTTCACTGCTCCGTCGCGACGACTTCCCGCCACGGCGCGACCAGTCAGCGCAGCATGCGCGCTCAGGCCGCGGAGGGCGCGGGCGCTGACCCCCCTGCCCCCCTGCGAATTAGGCTTGCAACCGCGCAGTCCAAAAACGGGGCGGCGGAGACGGGCGTTGACCACAAGCGCTTCAATTTCCCTGGGCCAGGCGGTTACGAGATCACATG